CCTGATTCACTTCTTCATCTCTGCCCAACCTCACTGCGCTTCCATCAGTGCAGCAGTCAGATGACAAGCGCATCCAGGGCTAATCCCAGTACAGGACAGTCTTAAATTAGCTTCGCTGCAATTGGCTGAGATGACTCGCGCTGAACCTGCACTGCTCAAAAACCAGAAAATCACCCAGTGACTGTGTGATTTTTGGCCTAAGCTTATTTTAAGTCTGACATTTTAAAGTCAACCGGAAAAGATTTTAGATAAAAGAAATGGACAACCAAAAACATTGCATTATTTCAATTCTAAATAGGAAAAATAGAGCTTTGGTTTATGTTAGAGGTAATCAGTAGCATTTCAAATTAATTTTATTTAAAACAATGTAAGTCTATAGTACTATGTCCTTATTCATATAACTACATAAACGTGTGCGTGCGAGAGATGCTAAGTTGTCTTGCACATTGTGCCACTTTCATTAACTTTTGACATGTAATCAGTTAAGAGACTGCTTATCCTTCCTGGTCTCAACACTTTTCCCATGATTCCTCAATCCTTCCCACTGACAGCTAAATGGCTGGCCAAGCTGATTACAGGGCTAACCGAACTGTGTGCCTGACTAGACAACTCAACGGGCGTCTGACTGGGCCGATGACATGTGACCGTTTGACTACACTCTATCTAGTGATCTTCGTAACTGATACCTGATTCAAATCAGATGGTAATGTATGCAATATGTGATATGATGTTTGAGTGGAACTTACAGTTGAGTGTTTCCAGTAGCGTATGATTTCCTGCAGGTTATCTGCTGGGTTGAAGAGGAAATGCTCTCTCCATTCATTCCAATCCACAGACATAGTTCCATCCGCATCAATACTGGAGGATAAAGGATCAAAGTAGAGAAGACATGTGAATCTGGATTATAATGTCCTATGTGACCCTGGACCACAAAACCAGTCATAAGTAGCATGGGTATATTTGTAACAATAGCCAAAAATACATTGTATGGGTCAGAATTATTGATTTTTCTTTTATGCCAAATTTTTTTAGGATATTATGTAATATATGTATGTTCCATGAAGATATTTTGTACATTTCCTACCGTAAATATATCAAAACTTCATTTTTGATTAGTAATATGCATTGCTAAGAACTTCATTTGGACAACTTTAAAGACGATTTTCTTCAATATTTTGAATTTTCTTTTTTGCTCCCTCAGATTCCAGATTTTTAATAGTTGTATCTCGGCCAAATATTCTCCTATCCTAACAACCCATACATCAATGGAAAGCTTATTTATTCAGCTTTCAGATGATGTATAAACCTCAAATTGACCCTTATGACTGGTTTTGTGGTCCAGGGTCACCTATGTGATAAAGTTATCCTAAAGCCTAATGAGTATATCATACATAATAATTTCCTTCATGATAACTATATAGAAATCCCAAGAAACCCTGCACTCTGCAATACTTTATCAGTGGACTAATTAGATTAAGCACGAGTATTTCAAAAGCAAAGACTATGCATAAACATACTGTGCACTTTACTAATCACTGACAACACTAATGTGTTGCAGAATTATACATAAATGTTCTATTCCATTTATAAGTAAACGCTATCACTTTATTATTGCATTAAAGCAACTGAAATTTGTATTAGGCGTGTAATATTTTGCAAAGTGAGCGTAATCTTTATTATCCAGTGAGTTATAGGCTGCTTTGCTATAAATGAAATGAAGTACAACTCAGTAGAACTTTTATTCAATTTTTCATTCATTTCCTTCTTGGTGCGAGCAAGCCTTTGGAGTACCTGTTGAGGATCGTCTCTGCATCTCGATCTGTCAAGTTTATGCCCATGTCTTTAAGTGACTGCTGGATTTCTTTGGCATCGATGCGACCTGCATGTGCAATTAATGTTGTTAATGTTTATTTTATGATCAACAAAAGCAGAAGGTGCGATGACAAGTGTTTCAGTCTCTAAATTAGCATGATTAGTGGATGTAAGACTTCAGGTCAAATTTATTTATATAGCACCTCAGGCCTCTCTCATCTTTTTAAGTGGGAGAACTTGCACAATTGGTGGCTGACTAAATACTTTTTTGCCCCACTGTACATAGTTTCAAGGCAGTTTTACAGAAAGTTGTATTGTTGTCTATAATGCCTTGATGCTTTAACATAAGAGTGGTTTTAGGGTACAAATGATCCTATGAATTTAATGGTTAAAATGGATTAGTCCACAAAGAAACGGAGCAAAAAACCTAATAGTATACTTTAATCTTACCATCCTGATTTTTGTCCAGACTCTTGAAGGTCAGTTTGAGTTTTTTCTCGTGTTCTTTCAGATACTTTGAAAACTCCTCAAAGTCCAGCCCTTCATCCTTATCAGTGTCTCCAGAGGCAACAATTTTCTGTAAGAGAGAAGCATTACACAGTCCATGAGATTCCTGGAAAATGTGCATCACTGAGTACTCGATCCTAAATATAATATAAACATTAATATTTCGCACATCATACAGATTCTCTGGAAACACTGACTTCTCAAACTTATAGTAGGTTTAATAAATAAATAAAACCTTTAGCCCTCATTTTCATATTCAGTCAAACCCAGCTCAGTTTGTTCTGACATCAATGTAAACTTTAAAAACACTGCCACCCAGTGTTGTCATTTAGATGCAATCATAGACTACTTCACACTTCAGTACAATGCAGAAATTCAGGCAAATTTCTCCCCAAAATCAAAACGGACAAAACAAGAAAAACATTACAATGTATCTATGTGACCTGATGAGCTTGCTGGCACACTCTTTGTCTTTGAACTGTGATACAGTGGGTCTCATTTGCTTAGGCGAGGTGGGGTTATATCAGCTGTCTCAAAATGGGTAAGGAATGTCAATGGATAATGGAATGTAGGTTTAATATCAGCATGAACCGTACAGGAGTGTCTTTACCTACCCTTCTGCTTTAAGTGCACTTCCATGGAAAAGACAGGAAATGGCATTACCTGTATAGGATTGGAAAACCCTATCTGAAATGACAGCTGAGATGTTGGGGGACTGTTGAGGCAAATAAGCTATTGTCTGTTATTTCCTATAGTCTAAGTTCGGTGACTATATTTATGTGCAATAAAAAGCATGACTATATTTACTCCTAACTTAAATAGCATCAAATATTACTAGAGGAAGAGGAAGAAGAGGAGGTTGTGGGCTGGCACTAAATTCATCATTTCCCATCATATCTTTGACGTACTACTTATGGTATTTACTATTAATGGTTTAGCTTAGAAGCATGTATTAATATCTGCAATACTGCATCAAACAAGATGGTAGATTTTTCTTAGTAGTACATTTCCCTTGCATGCGAACAATATAGGAACCCAACAGTCTGTCAACGTGGTTTATTGGCTTATGGGGTTTATACTGAACCCAAACCCCAGATCTACAACAAAAGCGAGTCAACAACAGAGATGCAGTGAGCCAGTGAACTGCAATTACCTGCGCTTCACCTTTCCCCATAGAGAAGCCCATAGCAGCCAGGCCCGTCTTGAGCTCAGAAACATCCACTTTCCCATCTTTGTTAACATCCAACTTCTCAAACAACTCCGCGAAACTTTTCGTGTTGTCCTCCTCCAAACAATGCGATTCGGTGAACACGAATTTCCTTATAAGCTGATACATGATGAAGTGCGATGTATACCGTATTTATATTTTTACTGCACGGGATCCAAAGATTGCAGGCAAACTGCGGAAGAACAGCAGATTGCCTGGCAATGGAGAAAACAGACCCTCCCTTATCGTCTTGCCCCACTGAGTTAAACTTTAGTAGTCATACTTTTATTGCCACTATCGCTTGAAACTCAACACTTTATCAGGTTCGGTCTGGGCTGAGCTGAGCTGAGAAGGAGGGACTAGCATTACTAGGGTATTTGCCTGCGGTGCCTCCTCGTTTTAGACGGACACACCCAAATGTACACAAGCTCAAGAAGTGTTTTCTCTCTCTCTCTCTCTCTCTCTCTCTCTCTCTCTCTCTCTCTCTCTCTCTCTCTCTCTCTCTGTCTGTCTGTCTGTCTGTATGACTCACTGGCAAGAATTACTTAACAGAGGTTGCATTTAGTAATTCATGCTTAACTTCCCATTTTTCATGGCACTATGGACTATAATGCATCATAGTATAGCCTATATTAACTACTTACAACTCTTGGATAAATAGATAGATAGATAGATAGATAGATAGATAGATAGATAGATAGATAGATAGATAGATAGATAGATAGATAGATAGATAGATAGAGAGACAGATAGATAGCATCCTTATTCCAGTTCTCTAAAATCCACTAATAACGTTTTATTATTATTATTATGTAATTATTATATTATTAGTTTGTTTGCATGGTTTCAAAGCAGCTTTACAGAAAGTCATGTATAATAGCATGTTTTATTTTATTTTTTAATTTAAATTATTACTAATAAAATATTTTTTTGTTTTATTTGTACTAATAACGTTATTATTATTATTATTGCATGCTAAAATGTGCAATGCACAATTGTGATCTTAATATGATACAATTAGAATCTTCAGTTTTGCACAGCTGTAGAAACAAATCCCTAGGCCTAGATCATCCTAAATATAGCGAGTTACTACAGAAGTCAGATATGGATGGAATAAATATATAGCTTCAAAAGACCGCATAGAAGTTATTATAATTTAGTACCTGTTAGAGAATCAGATATCAGTCGAGGCATACATAATAGCCTAGTTGATGGCCAGAGGCAACTTTGAAACATTCACGATACTGTTAACAATAGCCCTTTTATGGCGCTTATAATAATCTCTAACGATATATTTCTTACAATATAATTTCTATATCATTTAGTATGAGGGATTTGTATTAGACAATAGCCCTATGAGACAAAATGTCTCTACCACAGAGATTGTCTGTCTGTCTGAACACTAGAGGTCCTCCGGTGTACTTGCAGAGCTGCTGTGGCATAGTGCGTGACAGCTTTACGACAACTGTACTTACATGTGTTGCTTTACGACACACGCAATCGCTTTACGGAGGAGTGTAGCATGTTCACTGATGTTGACATTTTAATCCGTAGTTTAAGGAAATAAATAACTGCAAATTTGAGTGTTTATCGTATACGAGTTCTGGATTATTTGTAGCTTGTTTCCAAGATGGGAAAGCCGAAAAAGAAGAGTAAGTATTCACTGCTAAGTTTAAGCAGAACGTTTTCTGTTAGCTGTTGAAAGCATGTTGTCTATATACTAAGACTTGGGTATTGTATGCTTGCTTAACATCACATGTAAGGAAATGTTATATTTTATTATTCAACACAAGCAGTTTCGTAAATGTTCGTCACTGTTAAAATGGCAATGTGACAGAAAGTTAACAAAGTCATGTGAAAGAATACTTTTTTTTGGATACGTTTTGTTAAAGAAGCATTCATTTGGAAGGTAGCTAGCTACTTATGTTTTCTTACTATTTCAAAAGTACAACACAAGTATCTGTCAGGATATATTTGGAATATATTTGCATTTTGGGTCAGACGTAAAGTTTATGATAAAAAGTTGTAACAATCAGCCCGAGTAACTAGTTAGGTGACCATATTTTAGTTTTCCAAAAAGAAGACATTAGGGGACATTCATTTATTATCTAATAAATAAAAAGAAAACAAGTAGATAGAATAGGGAATGCTAGTGTTAGTGGGTCATTTTTAAATAAAAATAAAACAAGTCAATAGAACAGAAAAAGAAGAGATAATGCTAGTGTTAGAAGGTCATTATTTATAATAAATAAAAAGAAAATAAGTAGAAAGAAAAGAGAATGCTAGTGATAGAGGCTATTTTTTCTTTATAAATAAAAGTTACTAACAAGTAGTTAGAATAGAAATAGAATAGAGACTGCAAATGTTAGAGGGTCAAGTTTTTTAATTTAAAAAGAAACAATCAGATAAAATTAGAATTAGCATTAGAATAGAGAGTGCAAGTGTTAGAGGGTCAAATGAAGATGAAAGAGAAGCTGTTTCTTGAAAATATTAAGGACTCAGCTGCTTGGATTGAGTTGGGCAGGTCATTCCACCAGGAGGGAACAGTTAACCTAATGTAAAATCCATGAAAGTTTTATCATAGTTAGAATGCAAAATGTTTTAATATAAGCATTTCAGTCAAATGTAAGTTATGCAGTATTTCAAACCTTTAACCCACTTGGGAAAATCAACCCATGGTAACAGTTTAAAAGCAGCCCAATTCTGTGGAAATAAACACGGACTTGGTAATCAAGAGCTGCAGAAGTCAGATTTTATTGATCCCAGGTCGAGAATAAGGAGAGATGACTGAAAAGAACATGCTTGAATATTTGCAGCTCAACAGATCGTGAGTTCATTGACAAATATCTGATCTTGTAAGATATGCTCCCTTTACACAGAGTGCATGTGATCGCGAAATCGAAAGTGAAAGTAAACAGCGCAAACGCTCATTCAAAAATATTTAAATACACCGCATATTGAGTGATGCGCCAAAATTATATACAATATTAGAATGTTTAAAGGAGTGGACACGAAAATCACGGGAGCGAAACATGTTGCGGGAGCAGGCGGCAATGGTCAGAGATTCAGCGGGAGCGGGATATAGAAAACAGCCGAATCCCGGACATTTTTAAGAAATACCGGCCGGACGCATTTTTGTAGGTCCAAAAAGAGGACGTATGGTCACCCTAGTTCTGTTCTTTAACTAGTCTTTAACAGCATTGACAGGTGTCTGGAACCTGCATAGAGGTTGGTGTCTCTCTAACATTATCTGTCTGCTTAACTTTCTGTGTCCACATCAGGTGACTTGAGCCGTGCAGAACTGATGATGATGACAATTGCAGATGTCATCAAGCAGTTGGTTGAGGCCCACGAACAGGGAAAAGATATTAACCTTAACAAGTCAGTGCATTTTTAAGTTTCAGAAACACAATTGGAACTGTTTTCTCATTGGATAACGGTAAACTAAGACAGCTAATGTTTTTATAGAGTCAAGACAAAGACATCAGCCAAATATGGTCTCTCTGCACAGCCACGGCTAGTGGACATCATTGCTGCAGTGCCACCTCACTACAGAAGAGCCTTGGTGCCCAAACTGAAAGCCAAACCCATTCGGACTGCCAGTGGGGTAAGGATGGCATGTTGGCCCTTTGCAATTTGTATTAGGGTGGTGTAAAGATATCATAATGAAGAAATGAAACTGCAGCACAGAGTTTTATTTAATATTTATTTGTAGATTGCAGTTGTCGCTGTGATGTGTAAGCCTCATCGCTGCCCACACATCAGTTTTACAGGCAACATCTGTGTGTGAGTATGACTGAAATAATGTGCCCTTGTATTTCTGGTACACTACCGTTCAAATGTTTGGGGTCGGTAAGATTCTTCTTTTTTTTCACAAACATTAATCAGCACAACTGTTTTCACCACTGATAATATTAACAAATTCTTAAGTACCAAATCAGCATATTAGTGGCACTGAAAACTGGAGCTTTGCTATCATAAATAAATTACATTTGTATTGAAATGTACTGTGCATGTAAATGTATTGAAATAGAGATTGTAAATACCGTATTGACCCAAATATAAAACGATGTTTTTTTTCTTGGAAATACATCTGAAAAAATGCGGTCGTCTTATATTCAGGGTCTAGACTTTGACATGTCAATAATACACCCACAAGACTAGATGGCGCCAAATACGCATAAAACGAGTGTGCCATGAAATACGTAATGTAATGCGTGTTGTAAAGATCGCGAGAAAAAACAAAAGAAAAAGAAAACCTTACAGCTGCATGAGTCGTGACTGTCACGTTGGCCTGATGGGACCAAACTTCCTTTGTGATTTTAAAACGTAAGACAGTACCCAGATTTGAAGACTACAGTAAGATTTAACTTCTACTGTTAATAAGATATTGGTGGACTACTATTAGATGGATAGCCTAAATGTCCTAATTCAGATGAGCTACCTGTTTTTTTTTTTAATGGTATATCAAAAAGTGTATATTTTTTAAATGTGATTGCCGGTACATTTTACCAGTTTTTACCATACTTTCAAAACAAATATTAAAATAGGAAAAATATTCAATATGAAAATAATTGAAGACAAAATGTGTTTTACTGAGAAAAAAACAAGATTTGGTTTTTAAAAAGCCTATTCCAAAAGGTACATCTGGAAAAAGGGGGGTCGTCTTATAATCAGGGTCGTCTTATATTCGGGCCAATATGGTAATTGTAATAATATTTCACAGTATTTCTGTTTTACTGTATTTTTACTGTATATTTGATCAAAGAAAATTTTCTTTCAAAAAATTTGGACCAATCCCTAACCTTTTGAACAATAGCGTACATTTATTCATTCAGTCCGTGCTTTTATACAAAATGACTTACAAATGTGTAATTCTACAACACAAGCTATTCACCGTAAAGAACGGCACCATGAACCTTTTACAGTACATTTTCCATGTGAGCCTGCATCTGGTTCAAGCAGTTAGCATTGTGTATCTTTTATGAGCAAAATATAATGATAAAGCCAGTCTTAGTTTTGATGTTTATGTGGTGTTTGTGTTTTCATTTGCTCAAACAGCTACTGCCCAGGGGGTCCGGACTCGGATTTTGAATATTCCACACAGTCTTACACAGGATATGAGGTAATTATCCTTCTGTATCCCAAAGCAATGCTATCACGCATGTTCTTTTTATGAGTTTTGCGCTGATGTTATGCTGTATGCTTCATTTTGATTGTCTATTTCCCCTCTTACCCAGCCCACGTCAATGAGAGCCATCCGTGCACGATACGATCCTTACCTCCAGACTAGGCACAGAGTAGAACAGGTGAGTCATCTTCACTGTGCCTATTCATGAGCAGCATTTTTGGCATTGTACAGTTAAAATCTTAAGGGATCATAAGCTACTTAATGGTTTTGATTTTACGGTGTACATCTGCAAGGTTGATGATCCTCTCAGCTTTTCCACTCATTAGATGGTGTTAATGTCATTACGCTGCTGTGTTTGCACATCTAGCTCAAGCAGCTTGGTCACAGCGTGGATAAAGTGGAGTTCATTGTGATGGGAGGAACATTTATGGCTCTGCCGGAAGAGTACAGGGACTATTTCATCCGTAACCTCCACGACGCGCTGTCAGGACACACGTCCAACAACGTCACTGAAGCTGTCAGGTACCAGCTCCCCATGATAAACTTGTCTATGACTGATAGAATCAGGCCACCCTTAATTTTGAGTTTTGTGGCACAAATTTCTTAGTGCCAGGAAAGGGCCAGGAGACGATGCCATCGTCCATCGCCGATGGCTAACGTTAAGCTGACTCCCACAATCCGCCGCATCCCAGTTCCGTGTTCGAAAAGGAAATAAAGTGTACTACGGAAACCCTAAGGGAATAAATAGCCTACAAGATGGGAGGATAAAAAATATTTCAATACTTTTTCTCGCAATTATATCATTGGGTAAGTATAGGCGACTGTATATACATTGCGGGCATCAGGGAGCCGCTATTGAAACCGCTTTCGATTGCGCGCTCTCATTTTACTTTCACTTTCACTTTTGAGATTCGCGATCACAAGGACTCTATGCTATGTAGCGGCAGTACTTACCACACATGTGACAAGATTAGATGTTTGTCATTGGTGCTCAGGATCTGCAAATCATTCGCCATCGTCCTATCAGAAATTTCTCTTTGCTCTGTGTATGTGGTAAGTGAACTTTCATGTACTGTAATGCAACAGGCTACCGCTAGCAAGCGGCTAACCTTTTAGTGGCTCCGTAGAACGCGTTATTCCATACTTTTTGCAACCTCCTTTTGCCAAGAGAACAGCTCTGAGTCTTCACCTATAATGCCTGAAGAGTTTAGAGAACATCTGGCAGGAGATCAGAGACCATTCCTTCATACAGAATCATGATTCAGATTTCCAGCTGCATGTTGATGCTTCTCCTCTTCAGTTCACCACACTAATTTTCTATAGGGTTCAGGTCAGGGAACTGGGTTGGTCAGGGCAGAAGCTTGGTTTTGTTCTTAGTGACCCATTTTTGTTTTGATATTGATGTTTGTTAGTGGATCATTGTCCTGTTGGAAGATCCAACCATGGCCCATTATAAGATTTCTAGCATGGACAGTCAGTTTTAATTTTTTTATTCACTGGTATTTTATAGAATCCATTATGCCATCTATCTGAACAAGATATCCAGGATCTCCGGCAGAAAAATAGGCCCACAACATTAAACATCCAGCAGTGTATTTCATTGTACACATGGGGTACTTTTTTTTATCCCTGTGTGCACCAAACCCATCTTGAGTGTTTGCTGCTAAAAAGCTACTTTTTTTAGTTTCATCTGACCATAGAAGCCAGTCCCATTTAAAGTTCCAGTCATGTCTAGCAAATAAATATGCTGGAGTTTGTTTTTGGATGAGAGCGTTTTCTTTTCTAGTTTTTTCTTGAAACCCTCCCAAACAACATTGTTTTATTTAGTTTTTTGAGGCTTTCTGACCCCAAGACTCAACTATTTTCTACAGTTCTCTAGCTGTGATCCTTGAAGTCTTTGGCCACTCAAACGCTCCTCCTCACCATTAGGACGATATAGACACACGTCCTCTTACTGTATTAGAGAAATTTTTTTATTTCGTAATGTCGTTTTCCCCCACTTTCACTTTTTTTTTTTTTTTACTTTAATTAAAGGTTAGATTTTTTATTTTATTTTATTTTTTGAATGAAAGATCAAGTGGATAAACAATGCAGGTTTATTTTCACAGCCTTTTTTGATCATATTTACATACAACTATATATACTGTATAAATATATATATGAATTCAAACTTAATTTCAAGCAACATTTGATGATACATAACTGAAATAGCCTAACTATTTCTTACAAAGACAAGCGCGCGTGTGTGTGTGTTAAAACATATTAGTTATAACAACGGCAGATAAAATTACACGATAAATGAATGAGTGATCGTTACAAAAGTGCGCTTGAAATGTACTGAACACGGAAGCTCTAACGTGTCTTTTTCTCACGTGTCACAAACGCACACTTCAGCATCTTCTTTTGCTTTTAATGGCTGTTGGCAAACCCACTTAAAGGTGCATACCGTCTCCTGCTGCACAAAACCGGCATGACAAGTGACATAAAATAAGGATCGGGCTCACGACAGCTGATAACGATCAGTTAAAAAATTGCTTGATTGGCCCCGATCCCGATCCTTGAGATCATCCCTAAAACATATATTAAAAATTCTCTGCTATTTTAAGTAAATTAAAAATTCAACACTAAAAACTAAAAGTATAGGCTAAGTGAATTTAGGCATCACTTAAATTTTACTGGTCACACAACCATGCGGATTACGACACGCAGTGAGTGGAATTCTATTTATAATTCTGTGTACATAATCCACCTTGTTTTTCAACACAATATCATCACAGCAACAACTTCAAATAAGCCATTTTCTGTGAATGTGTGAGATTTCTGGTTCATTAGCCGCAGTAGGGAAATAACGAAAACTGAAAAATGCTTAAATGATGATGACAAGATAAAGAGTGTTATTAGTCACATCTCCTGATATGCAATTTAACAGTTTAGCCGACATTAACTTGCACATTTATGGCTAACCAAGCAAAGAAAAGCCTTCTTTTCACTTTGACCATTAGTCTAAGTCTGTCTAAATATGTATAAAGGTGACGTATGTGATTTCTGTGCAACTAACTTCACCAGCAAAACTGAAAAAATTATATCTTTTTATGTTTGATAAGATTCGATATCTTTTCAAAAAGCCTTTTGCATCAGTTTTGAACAAGTGGTGACTGACCACCCTGATGACATCAGCTCCCTGAGGAAAGCTAGCATTTTGAAGTTAGAATGAAAGGCAAAAGGGATGATTGCAAGATGTGGATAGACTGCCACTGCAGGGCGCTGTTAGTTTATTACTGTGTTTTTTGTGTTATTTAGATAAGCTCTGACTTGGGACCAGTGTTTTTGTTGTTGGAAAATATAAGTCTGTATAAGCAAAATGAACAAATGCAGGCCTTGGATCAGTTAAAGCACAGTGCCAAAAACCTCCTGGTGAGCAAATTTGGTAGTGGGGCAGTTTGGACCAGTCTTCCACTATCAGAGCAGCTGCACTGGCTCTGCTTTCTGCCTAGTCACAGAACAATAAGACAGAATGTGGCATTTGGGCTCTATGCTTAAATGATGATGACAAGATAAAGAGTGTTATTAGTCACATCTCCTGATATGCAATTTAACAGTTTAGCCGACATTAACTTGCACATTTATGGCTAACCAAGCAAAGAAAAGCCTTCTTTTCACTTTGACCATTAGTCTAAGTCTGTCTAAATATGTATAAAGGTGACGTATGTGATTTCTGTGCAACTAACTTCACCAGCGAAACTGAAAAAATTATATCTTTTTATGTTTGATAAGATTCGATATCTTTTCAAAAAGCCTTTTGCATCAGTTTTGAACAAGTGGTGACTGACCACCCTGATGACATCAGCTCCCTGAGGAAAGCTAGCGTTTTGAAGTTAGAATGAAAGGCAAAAGGGATGATTGCAAGATGTGGATAGACTGCCACTGCAGGGCGCTGTTAGTTTATTACTGTGTTTTTTGTGTTATTAATTTTTTCTTGATAAGAGAGAGAGAGTGTGTGTGTGTGCACGTAGGCAGAGGTCCACAGGATTGTTGGCACACCACAGCTTATCAGCGGGTTTGTTAAGATGACACGATTGCCATAATTGTTCCGGCGGCTAAACAGCCAGAGATGGGGAGACAACAGTTCGATTTCAGGCCCATTGCTTATCTCAGCAGAGGATGTGTGTGTGTTTGTGTGAGTGTGTGAGGGAGAGAGAAATAAAGAGAATAAGTACAAATGAGAAATGCTCTGTTGGTTTTTATAACTACATTGTCTGAAATCTGGGGATAGAACCAGGAGCTAAATGGACAGAAAGAGTTTTTGGGCTATTAAATGTCCATTAAAACTTCAGAACAATGTCAGGCATGACAGGAAGCCAAAAACCATGCATTTCAGAATTATTATTAAATTGATGCAAACCAATACAGTTGGCCAATTGAAACCAGTTCAGTCGGAAAATAGTTTTCATATTATCATCAGAAACTGTAATAGGAAGATTTTTCCATTTTATTCAGAAGTCTTTTTTAAAAAGCCATTTTAAAAGAGTTTTTTTGTTTTTGTTAATTTTGTTGATCAATCATACATTACACACACATACATACATATATATGTATATATAGAGAGAGAGTGTGTATGTGTGTGTATATACACACACACACACACACACTCTCTCTCTCTCTCTCTCTCTCTCTCAGGGTTAGTATGATTTTGTTTATGGTTTTGAAATGTCTCAACAAGGCTGCTTTTTTGGATCAAAATACAGTAAAACAAGTAATATTGTGAAATAGTATTACAATTTAAAATAAATCTTTTCTATTTTATATATATTAAAATGTCATTTATTCCTATGATGGCAAAGCTGAATTTGAGTTTCCAAATTACTCCAGTTTTCTGTCACATGATCCTTCAGAAATTATTTAGTGCTCAAGAATCATTTCTTCTTATTATCAATGCTGAAAACAGATCCTGCTTAATGTTTTTGTGGAAACCATAATACATTTCCTTCAGGATTCTTTGATGAAAAGAACATTTAAAAGAACAGCATTTATTTGATTTTTAACAAGGCATTTTTAATGTCTTTACTGTCACTTTTGAACTATTTAATGTGTCCCTATTAATTTCTTTAAAAAAAAAGAATGGATACATGCATATATAAAAAAGTATCAGAATTTCTGAGCTGATATTCTTTTCCCCAGATACTCTGAATGCAGTAACAGCAAATGTGTCGGCATCACGATTGAGACCAGACCTGACTATTGCCTGAAGAGACACTTGAGTGACATGCTGGCCTATGGTTGCACCAGACTAGAGATCGGTGTACAGAGTGTTTATGAGGATGTGGCTCGTGATACCAACAGGTCAGAGTTTGTTGCTTTTATAATAAGGGACATTCCACAGACTAGAAGATGAGTGTTTAGTATTTGAATAATCTTGATCCTGGGATGCTATTAGTGTAACATCAGTGTTAAGACTTCCAGTTAGCCATTTTGTTCCAACGGATTTTAGCTCATGTTGGTAATTGTAGTTTGCTCACTTGATTATGTGTCATTTAGGAATCACTTTGAGGGATTAGTAGACTTAGCAACTATGCTAATTACTCTATAATCTTGGGTGTAGTTGTAAGTGCTGTGCTGAATTTAAATGACCTTGTTAAAAACATGATTAATTAGAATATACAGCCTTATGACCATTTAAAATTTGTTTTGGTCATTTATATTTTGTCTTACAAAAGTAAGGATTATATTTCTTTAGTAACTGCATGTATCTTGGGCATGGTTATATTGAACTTATGTACTATGAACTAAATGTACTTACTGAACTTACTAACTTTTTCCAGAGGACATACCGTTCGGGCTGTGTGCGAATCTTTCCATCTTGCTAAGGATGCTGGTTTTAAAGTTGTAGCCCACATGATGCCAGACTTACCCAATGTCGGTATGGAAAGAGATGTGGAGCAGTTTATAGTAAGTACTTCATGGATCAGTATAATTCTACTGCATTCACCAATAAAATCTGCCATCAAACACAATGTGAAAATGGCAAAATGATTAAGCATGAGCGCAAATTTTATATTTTGGTAATATAACTGTTTTACTGGTCAAAATAGTTTGGTGTACAATACATCAATAATTCACCTAAGAATGAATATTCTGTCCTCTTACAACCTTTTTCTTCATGCTGTTCTAAACCTGTATTACTTTCTTTTGTGGGGTGTTTAGAAACACTACTAAAGTAGAAAGTCTTTGTTGTCATTTACATTCATATACACTACCATTCAAAAGCGTAGGGTTAGTATGAAAAAATAATAATACTTTTTTTTAAAGAATGCATTAAAGGAGACATATTATGCCCATTTTTACAATATGTAATATAAGGCCCAATCCCAATTCTATTTTATACCCCTTCCCCTTCCCCTACACCTCCGCCTACCCCTTCCCCTGGTCCCTTGAAACAGAGTGTCAAGGGGTAGGGGTGAAAATATTCCCCTAAGAATTGGGACACCACTACTATGCCGTCACACGTCATCATACGTCGTTTAGCTCCTACAATACACACATCTATACTGGTGTGCTGGTGTGCATTAGAGCCTTTAATTACCGTTCTATATTAATGCGCTGCTTACTGACACACACACACACACATATATATCGGAGATCACGCAGCTCACACATCCAGGAGAAAAGAAACTTGTCAACGCTGCCCCACGACTTTTATTAATAACAGTTTAAATACTGAATCGCTACATTATATTATACATTATATAGCAACGAGAGGATAAAATCTCAGTTTTTTTAAGCATTCATGTAACTCTCTCTCTCGAAATGACAATATTTGAGAAAAGGGTTTAGCGATTTCTAATTATTGGGGGGACTAGCCCCCCTCAATGTCTATGGTGGTTATCGCCCTGATCAGACATGAAAATATTTTGTGGCACTATCATGCAGTCGGCAATGATATGACGTTAGTTAGCAGCGATTTTTTGCTAACATTTCTTTGAGTAACATGACCGTAAATATGAACTCACGATTGAATGTAACATAAAACAAATGATTACTTTTCGTTAAAATCTTTATTAATGCCAACAATGCTTACATTTATGTGTCTTTTTAGTTCGCTCGGGCAGCCATGTTGCCCCTGAAGCCGGTTTATGCTGAGATAATTCATACCCCTTCGTTTGAAGTGTGGTCCCGAAAAATCTTTGTTTGAAGGGCTGTCTGGCCCTTCCCCTTCCCCTTCCCCTACCCCTCCAACCAAAAGAGAATTAATACACCCCTACCCCTTCACGTGAACGTGCGAAAAGTAGGGGTAGGGGAAAGGGGAAAGGGGAAGGGCTAAGGGGTAGAATTAGGATTGGGCCTAAGTCTCAGGTGTCCCCAGAATGTGTCTGTGAAGTTTCAGCTCAAAATACCCCACAGATCATTTATTATATTATTGAAAATGCCTATTTTGAGTGGAAGCAGAAACAGACGTTTTTCGTGCCTGTCTCTTCAAATGCAAATGAGCTGCTGCTCCCCGCCCCTTTTCCAGAATAGAGCTTCGCCGTTACAGCTCGTACCTGCTAAAAACATCTGTTTTGGTTCTGATTATCCTGTTTATCGCGCTGAAATCATGCGTTTTAAACCATATGAGTTTAAACTATTCTAAGTTTTCTGAGTGCACACATCCGAAGCACACGGACAGAAAGTGGCTGTCACAGCATGTGAGTACTAAACTAAGTTCTCATTCACACACAAGTTTACGTTAAAAACACACATGAGTTACAAAAACAGTTGGTTATGTCTGTGAAGGTAAACAGCTGGGAAATAAATCGCATGTTTATTTTAGATCTGTGTCGCAGCAGCAATATACAATAAATAAATCAATAAATCCACTGCTCTCTTGTCTCCTCTGAGGCTGGGACGCTAAACAGTGTTCTGTGCTCGTCTGTGCAGCCAAACACAGAACAGTTAGCATGTTTTGCTCAAACTTTCGCCATGGCATTAGAGCTGTTACACCATTGTCGCTTGCGAAATCAAAATGATGGCGCCGTGGGTGGAAACTTACAGATTAAGGGGCGGTAATATTATAATGAGATCCCTTTGCAACGTCACTAGGGGAGTCAGTGTCAGTGATGTCAAACATCACTGTTTTTTTGTGTATTAACCATGCCAAATTTGAATATACACAGATGAGATTTTCAGTGGAGAGTGTTGTTGTTGTTGTTTGTTTTTGTGATTTTTGGAAAGACGGTGTTTAAAATTCTGCCAGATGTTTCCTTTGGTGTTTGCTTGAATAAAGTAAGTCATGTAGGTGAGGAAATTATGACACAATTTTCATTCTAAAACACTTTCAAAAGTGTTACCTGAATAATCATGTTTGGATTACTTCAAATAAGCCTCAAGCATAAGCTTCAAGAGGATTATGGGAAGTAGTGCTTTGCAATTTAAGGTCCTCAAACTTACAACTGTTTATTCTGTTAAGTTATTTTAATGTAAATGAACTGAGGAGCTGAGACACAGACAACTGCAGAGGGTTATTTAAATGCAAAGGTTTATCTCTGTATACCTCACAGGTTACGCAGGTGGTTTTCAAAATGTAATTTTCATCAACTAAATGACTTCAATTAATCAACATTCCTGTGAAATGGCTGTTGGGATATCCAAAATTTCCATATTACTTTCGGGTGCTCTATTAACTTTGACACTCAAAGTATCAGAAACTACTGAGCCATAGTCGTCATCAAGCAGGCTTCCCAGAGGTAATAGGACAAGAAATGAGAAATCATATATCGCTCCTTTAGAAATGTTTGAATAAACAATAAATAGCAAAATTAAACAGTTTCCCATATCACACAGCCCTAGGTTACAATGCAGAGAGGCAAAAGTGGTTGTACACATGAGATGTACAGTACAGGAACAGATTAACATTTTTATCCCGAGGAGAAATCCACTTTTATCGGGTGCAGTAGCTAATTGTTATATAGCAGGAATGATGGGTGAATGTAAATGAAGTGGGGAGTGATGTGCCATGGCAGGCTGCTCTTTTATGGCCTCTGTCAGTGTCCAGCTGTGACGCATTGGTTCGCATTATCAGGGGCTTCATTATGTGAAGTGAATAGAGCATTCATTATGGCGGGTTTCATTACCGAAGCATGGAGATCCAATCAGTGACTGGGCTCTGGAACCCATTCAAGGTGCTTCTCTCTGAAAGACTGTATTAAACACCAACCGGGAGCAATCCAGGTGCCAACAGGTTTCTTTGATGTCTTAAGCGAACACTGTCAGTGCACGATCTCGGGAGTTTAGCGATTTTAAAGCGGGTGATTATTTCCCATTAGGAGAACAGAAGAGCCTAGAATGAAGTGAATGATGTTAATGTTGCATAAGAAACATCATGATTAACTGAGTGCAGTTATATAAATAATATTTTGCATTAACAGTCACATAAATGCCACTTAACTGTAGAAGAGAACCATTAACTTTTTATTGCAATCATCCAGTCTCTAGAGTCTCGGAAGGCATGTGTATCTAAAGCTAAAAAGTCTTTGCTTCGATTTTGACATTGTTGTACCAAGCCCACATTACACCTACCTCATTTCCCCCTGGGAGGCTCTTACTGCCTCCACACTGCTGCAATCAACAGCCAGCTCCAAAATATTTGGACAGCAATACCTTTTTACTCTTTATTTGTACAATTTGTAATTGTAATATTGCAATTAGAGGCTAAAGGTACAAACAGTGTATTTTAAAATATTCACTTTTTTACACTTTTGTGACTTTTTTGGCCCCTTTAATGTTAGCCAGTGTTTCTTGTACCAAAAAAACCCAGCATTTGGAGGCAATTCTGATTAAATAAAATGCAACCAGTGTGATTCTTTTACAAGAGCTCTTAATAGTGAAATAAACTTTATCAAAGTTCAGGAAAGTTGCCAATAAAGGGTTTAGGATTGTGCTCAACAATTATTTGTGCACAATCTTTGCCCTGACATGACATTTTTAATGTGACTTTAGGATAGGAATGCACCAATATTAAAGTTCTTGCTGATACCGGTAATACAATTAATTATTATCATGTTAATTGTCGTTAACCGATAAATGGTCGATGTTACAATTCTGGCCATTACCAATAAAATGGTTAATTATTTTCATGTTTTGGCCAATAACCGAAAAGTTAACAATATTAAAATTCTGCCTGATGCTAATAAGATGGTTAGTTATTTTTATGTTGGACATTAATCGTTAAATTACCAATATTAAAATTCTGGCTACTGATAAAATGATTAATTAATATCATGTTATGGTGGTTAAACGATAAATTTCCAATATTATTCTAACACAGATAAAATTATTAATCATCATGGTATGGCTGTTAAGTGATAAATTACCAATATTTAAATTCTGCCTAACACAATCAGTTATTTTCATGTTATAGTCATTAACCGATAAATATTAAAGTTGTATACAATTTTGTCTAAATAAATTAAAAATAAAACAATAAAAACTCAAATAATTTAAGCATCCCATTATAATGTGCAGTATAAAAATGTACTTTCATGTTGATATTTGCTAAAGATGATATTTAACCATGTTATTAAATTAGTGTTATTTGCATTTTGTACTCTCTGCAGTTAAGCACAAGGCAAGGCACCTCTTCTTTTCTATCTGTAGATATGAGTCAGCATGACCACATCCTAGCAAACTCACTTGCAATATAATATTCAGTGTGTTCGTCAGAACAAAGTGTCTGCCATTTTGTTTTCCACTTCATATTCCTGACTATGCTGTTGCTTTTTTAATTACAGTGAAAAGCACCTACTCAAAGCATGGTTTTGACGAGAATCGGCTCATTGCTTTATCATTCCGCCTATTAATTCCATCAGTCCTTTATTGGAATCCGTTTCACGCGTATGTTTGAGTGTATATTAATTAATCTCTCACACACCTGTTGTGATATCTCTGTGATAGAGAGCTATTTGAAGGCAGTGTGTCAGAGCAGGAGAGAGGGAGATTAATGGCTGTGGAAGGTGGTCTCTGACCCCACCGCTATCAGCTCTTCTCCTCTGCCACCGTGTGCCCACACAACCTCACCTGTGTCAACAACCAGCAGCACTCGGCCAGTTTATCTCACCTAACCTGCTTTCTGTGATGCTCATGCTCATGCTCTCCTCTTTCCCTCCCTCTTCCGTATTTGCTCGCTCGCTCTCCGTCATGCCTCCCCCCACTTTTCGAGACGGGAACCTGTCGGCGCTATCTCAGGACGAGTGTGCGGTGGAAAGGAGCGTGGCTCAGTGATAATGGAATCCCATTACTGACTCGTCCGACTCTCACTGCTTACTTATCAGACTGTTTGCAGGCTCCCCTCCCTACATAAAAAATAACACTCAGCGTAAATATATCACACAAAGACTTCATTTGACTCTTAGAGTAAGGAGAAGCTCAAAGCACATAGCAAGTCGTGACTCAAATAATCCGTCATTTCAATTTGTCTGTTAAAGGCAATTATTTTTGTTTGTTTGTGCTATTTAGAGTTTAGTTTAAACGCACCAGTGTCCAGTTCGATGATTCACTTGTGTGTCAGGAAGCAGGACAGTACCAATTAAATGTCCACTGACATTGTCTCTTTGATTGTAATGGTTACGTTTCTGAGTGTGCTCCGACCGTGACCCCTGAGCTTTTCAAAGTGACAAGGGTAAAACAGATTCCCTCACAATTGTGCGTTAAGTAGAAGACGTAAGCAAGATTAGTGATGGAGGTCATGAGACTTCATTTCGCAGTTTACCAATTCTTGAACGTGAATGGTGTTACTTTCCAAGTACAAAGTCAGTTTAAGATTCAGTTTAAGATTTCTTTAGTAACAACAGTTTGGAAAAAGATATCTGGTAAATATATTCATAAAAGATATATTTGTTAATTTTTGCTATTATACTTTTACAATACCATAAGTGAAGTCTTTATTATGAGTGGTCAACCGATATGGGTTTTTCAATGGCAAATTAGAGTGCACGGTGACTTATGGCTGATATTATGCCAATATATCATAAATATTTTCGTTTTATAATGTCAATGAAATATTTAACGGAAAAAGAAATTACCCCAAAAAATTTAATTGAAAATGATTTTAATGTTTTTATCAGTGTTGCAATAACAAATTCATGTACTCATTACTGGTTCTAGAAGTAAGTCTCATGTTTGCACTGCTCTGCTAAAACTATTGTCTCTGTCACCAGGAGTTTTTTGAGAATCCTGCATTCAGACCAGATGGGCTCAAACTTTACCCTACACTGGTGATTCGAGGCACTGGATTGTATGAGCTGTGGAAAACGGGCCGCTATAAGAGCTACTCCCCCAGTGCCTTAGTGGATCTAGTAGCACGAATTCTAGCGCTGGTCCCACCATGGACTCGTGTGTATCGTGTACAGAGGTAAGGCAGTATCTAAACATCACAAATTGACCTCACAAACATGGAGGAAAAGCTCTATGAAATCTCTATCAAATCTATGCTATTTTGTATAATAATGAATTTTAAATAAAATACTAAAAACTAAGTAAAATAAGTGAGTTTATGCATCAAAACAATGTACAGTATAAAATGTTTTATGTATTATGAGATATGTCAAATATTACATTTATTATTTATTAAAGATTACATTTATTAGTATAGATTATTGGTATTTTGAAACATTAACTTTAATTGAGCATTAAATTATGGCAATTTGAATGTAAAAATAGAAAAAATGTGCATTAACAATTAAATATCCAATATCAAATGATACTAGTAAATTAAAAAAAAAAACTCTTAATATGAATAACCAATATGGTACCAATGTATCATGCATCCCTAATTCATTATTTACCCAAAACAGAAGCATTACCTGTTGCCTTATGTTCATTCTAATGTGACCAACATTTAGTTTAGCTAAGCTGATGATCTCTGGCCTCTTTCAGGGATATCCCAATGCCATTGGTGAGCTCTGGGGTGGAACATGGCAATCTGAGAGAGCTGGCATTGGCCAGAATGAAAGACATGGGCACTGAGGTAGCCTTAATTATCAATCATTTAGTTTGTTTGATGTATGAATTCAAGGCCATTAAGTACAAACTGCCGTTGATCCCTACAGTGTAGAGATGTACGAACCAGAGAAGTGGGCATACAAGAGATTCATCACAAAGTTCAACCATATCAGGTATTTCATGTTCTGTGTAACTAATTAGCAGAAACTTGTTGTTATAGTGTGTAGAGTTAGCGACTGAAAATAATTTCTGTGCTTCTTGTAGGTAGAGCTGATCCGCAGAGACTATGTGGCTAATGGAGGCTGGGAGACCTTCCTGTCTTATGAGGACCCCGAGCAGGACATTTTAATTGGTCTCTTGCGTCTTCGTCGCTGCTCACCACAGTCCTTCCGGCCCGAGTTGAAGGGTGGCGTTTCCATTGTTCGAGAGCTGCATGTCTACGGAAGCGTGGTCCCTGTCAGCAGCCGAGACCCCAGCAAGTTTCAGCATCAGGTAAGACACCTTATTTCTGCCAGTAAAACACTGCAAAGTAACTTTACTGTCACTTGGAAAAATGATGAACATGAAGAATGATTTGTAGTGGTGTAACGGTTCACAAAATTCACGGTTCGGTTCTATATGACCAAAGACTATAGAGTACCCAAGACATGTCATTTGTATAGTTTTGAATGGTGAAAAATGCAACGCTCAATATGGCCGCTCAATCGCAGGAAGCCCCACATTCTGAATGAAAGAGCCAATCGCTATTTGAGCAGAAGTAACAACATTATTGTCAGATTTGTTTGGTGATTTCAAATATGAAATTTTATCGTAAGCTTAGTGAACAGTTTTGGAGAATTTGATGTTTCCCCATTCAAAGAGATAGGAGTTGGGATAGTAGTTGTACTTGCATGCCTGAGAGGCATTTCAAAGATGGCCGCCGAGTGACATGACTTGTCTTAAAGGGGTCATATGATGTTGCTAATAAGAACATTATTTGGTGTAATGAAATGTTTATGCGGTTTAAGGGTAAAAAAACATTATTTTCCACATACTGTACATTATTGTTTCTCCTCTATGCCCCGCCTTTCTGAAACGTGTCGAGTTTTACAAACTCATCGGTCTGAAAAGCAAGGTGTGCTCTGATTGGCCAGCTATCCAGTGCGTTGTGATTGGCCAAATACCTCAAGCGTGTGACGGAAATGTTATGCCCCTTACCATATTGTGATGCCCTGTCTGGCCTGGGCGAAGAGACAAAAACATTAAAACCCATTATAAACAAGGCATTTGTTGCATCCAGTGGGGACATAATTACGGATTATAATGACTTATACTGACTTTTTACGCGTTGCATCGCGCCGCGTAAACATAAAACCATGTCTGCATTTGTGATCGGAGAAATGACAAACAACATGTGGTACTCTACACTGCTCAAAATTAAACTCATGTTTGAATCATCAGTGGCAAATCCTTTAAATATAAAAAAACTTTCTTACAGTCTGTGAGTCAGAACACGACCAGCACGGATCAGCTCTAGGCATGACGAAGCAGATATCGTCCTCTTTTGGAAGGCCAAACAAAGTAGTTCGCTTTCACAACGAAACACACCGCACCTTCACGACATGGTGGTGGCGGCAACAACAATACTACAGCGAGAATAAAAGTTACGCCTTCTTTCTTTGCGTGAACATTTGGGCGGCGTTATGCAAATCTTCCCACATCGTGACGTAGACATGCAGGGGCGCGTTAGAATGAGCCATTTTAGGTAGGCGTGGTTGACTCTTAACTTGTATAAAGAATATCTCTTTGGATTTGAGACTTTAGTCTTTGCAACTTTACAGATCTTCTTTATGCACCAAGAGCTTGTAACACTCCAAAGAGAAAGGAAAAATTTTAATTACATCATATGATCCCTTTAAAAGGACTTTGATATGACACGGGTGTCACGGTTCGGTATGTTTTCAATACAGCAAAAACAAAGAAATGGCAGACAAATTTCCTTGATTTTTTGACTTTGGAAGGCCTTTTGACTATTGCCGTTTATCTAAGATGATTTTGGAAACTTATTTAACATTCGTTTCTTATTTATTTGGTTCCACCGTGTTTGCTGATTTTCAGTGTTTTATATTTAAACTATGTGTAAGTTATTTGTTATTTTATATTAGGCCTATAGCATGGTGTATTTGTATTTGTTTTGTTAATAAATTAAACATTCTATGTTTAATGTAAGTAAGTTTGTCATACTATTTTGTTGTTGTCAATTCAATCAATTGACGCCGAAATGCCGCTAGTTCGAAAGTGAAAATAAAATGCGCACAAGCTTTTACAAACTATTTAAAAGCGAATAAAAGCGAGGAAAAGAAGGAAAACTACCTCACCGTCACAACCTGGAGTACATTATATTTCACACACTTTAAGCTCTTTTTTTCCCAAATGTAATGGGATTACTCCAACAAATCGAAAAGCCTCGTACTGAACGGTTCAATACGAATACGTGTATCGTTACACCCCTAATGATTTGTCATTAATAATGGTTAAATTGAAAAACTACTCCTCTTGCATGGGGATAAATGTGTACATTTTAATATTTCATTTTTATTTAAGGCTTTTGTCTTTTTTCAGGCTTTTTCATGTATTTTACATAGTCTCACTGACTGCACATTCTAATTTTCTTTTTCTCCTTGTGTGCATTTGTAGGGTTTTGGGATGATGTTGATGGAGGAGGCCAAAAGGATAGCCAGGGATGAGCACGGCTCGAGCAAATTGGCTGTTATCTCAGGTATCAAAAATATTCTCAGCATTAACGGAATGGCGCATTCATTTTGTTGGTTCTTCTCTTGCCCTCGCTAGAAAAGAATGAATACGAAATTTTGACATGCACCTTGCCAAATCAGCTGCAGGATGGTGATAACATCAATTGGAAAATAAATGAAAATCTGTATTCATATTATTCTGGCTCTGATGCTTTAATGCGAGTGCGTGATAACTTTTGTACTCGCATGTCTGACAAAGAAAGCAAAACAACAACTGTAGAATGTATTGGAAATACAGTGGGGTTTTCTTGCTTTAAGTATTTTGAATCGGCATGGCAACCTTGGCTGAAATGATGGTTCCTCTCAAATTATTAAAAAGGGTGATATTATTTTTCCTTCAATCAGAGCAAATTCATTAATATCAAGATATATATGGATATAACCATTTAAAATAACTGTTTTCTATTTTAATATATTTTTTAAAATTGTTCCTGTGATGGCAAAGCTATTCTTAGCAGCTATTCCTCCAGTCTTCAGTGTCACATGATTCTTCAGAAATCATTCTAATATGCTGATCTGGTGCTCAAAAAGCATTTCTTATTTTTAATGTTGAACTTTTGATGAATTGTCATTTTCTCAAATTTGCATGTTTTTGGTCCAAATAACATACCCCAGGGTGCCTCCATTAGAGCTTGCATTATTGAAAGAAAGATTATTTTCTACTGTGTGTGTAAATTTGAATTTTTGGTCATGTTTTATTTTAATTTTTTTGGTTCAGGTGTTGGAACAAGGAATTACTACAGAAAAATGGGTTATGAACTGGAGGGGCCGTATATGGTGAAAAACCTTTACTGAAGCAGAGAGGAATCCCTGGAGAATATCGTCTGACATGCAGGACACTGACTTTAAGGGGATCTTTACACCCCACCTATAATTGGACTGGGCATGAGGACTACAGAGAGCGTGTGTGTGGTCAGTACAAAGCAGACTGCACTATTCTGTTACATGCCAGCCAAAGAGTGTATTCTGTAGTTCTCTTATAAAGACCATGATGCAAGTATCAGTGCTTGTTAGAAATGTACACCATTCTCCCTTGGCCTTAGTATACTTGCCAGTGCATTTACTTCTCTGGGATAACACTCATATATTTTTGTTTTCTACTGACAACATTGGACATAATGGAGGAAAAAAACTGCAGAGGCTTTGAGTTATCCCGTTATAAAAGCGCATATTTTTCATTTGGATTTGTGAGGGGAAAATCATTTATGCTTGCTGCTTGGCACATTTGATTAATCCACCATTTTTCCTGTTGTTAATTTTGAAGATGGATTCATTGCATTTTCATGTTTTCTTGGCTGTGCATGAAAAGAGTTCATCTGGTCTTTTTTTTTAATTATTGTTAATAAAAGATATTTATCCAGGATTTCAGTAATTTTCACGATTGTGCATTGTCATAAATCGCATGTTAGCACAAAGGCAGACGATTTGGATAGAGTCGAATAGACATAATACAGCCATCACTGAACATTCAAAGGAATTAATGGATAAGAAATCATCCGCGGCACTCTCCTGCCCAGCTCAGATATGAAAAACTGTCGCCAAAATGATTGAAATTCAATTGCTTCTATTTTTGACAGAATGAAAAGTTCACTGGAACTACTCCGCTGCGTTTTAGTGTCTGTCACCACACCACCAATTTCTGAGAAATGTCGTGCGGCGTGGCGAGAGCTCTCCTCCGCAGGAGACCTCATGATATGTCTGCTGATGGGTTTTTACTGCTTCATTTGACATCGCAATAACAGATTATATCGCTATCTCTGTCTGTGAGTCAAGGTGTCAGGCGAATGATGACCGACCACCCTTTAAAGCTAAGCTCAGTCAGATCACACTTGTAAGAGGTTTGTCATCAGAGAAATGGCCTCCAATAAATGGCAAGATGTTGTTTTGCCACCACCCCACAATAAAGTGATGATTTAACAATGGTTGATCTCGTAATTTCCTGGCACAGGCCTTTTGTTAGGACTTTAATGGCTTAATAACCTCACCGTTAAAACGATGAACAGTGAACATCAATGTGTCATACACACCAATCAGCAGCTTTCACTAAATCTCAGTAAGTTTTAACTAGACAATCCCATAACCGATTTCGCTAATTACATTGGCTCATAACTGTCATTATTTCTCTAAAGTCTTACCAATGCAGGATTAATACTGATGTAGCCGAAATGATGACCTCAGAGAATGAACGAGTGCTGTGTTTAGATAATGTGCATAATTCGCCACCGAGGTCAAGATGAGCCATCGCAGCGTTTCATTTGCAAACCAGCGAAGCGTGAGGAAAAGGGCAGTGTCTCTAGAGATGGAAATGTCACAGATGAGATCCACTTAGAAGGATTCTCAGACGCTTTGTGTTATTGCCGGTGAGGCTGTAAGGTTTCGAAGCTCTTGAACACTCTCAAAAGGCATTAATATTCAACTTTGGCATTATTATTGGCCTTCATCAACTCAACACTGAAGTTAACTGCTCTTTGTCTTGATCACAGAGATCTGTTAAAAAAGTCCGCTGATTTACTGTTACAGACGTTTTTCATTTTCTAGACCTGTGAAGTATTGAACACAAATTGAGCCAAATATCATTTATATCCATCACAAAGGGGGACTTTAATTTCCTGTGGAAGATAGAGCACTTTCCCCAACCAGAAAACCATCTGAAGCATCCTGTAAAGACAAAACCATCTACAAGACTGGCCACAAAAGCCACAGAAACCATGACAGTCCTGTCAGTGGAAAACAGTCGATCTGAATGATTGATACTTGTGCCATTTTTCAGATACACACTACGGGAAACAAAATTATTTCCCCTCAATCTAGATATTGAACATGCGCCACCAGCTATGAAACTTCAAAGGTTTCACTTCGAGCAATTACTAAGGACTGCCTGAATAGCTTATGCACTCCATCCAAAACCTGCATCCTCAGACCACTTTAGTTTATCTCAGCTATTATGCATTAAGATAATGGACTACTATGTCAAATGCTCAACAACAAAGCTTTCACAGCAGTCTAAATTGGTCTGGATGAGGTAACCAGTAAGAGGAGAAACCGAAATAGCCACCTGTCTGCGAATGCTAGTGAAGTGAGGCTCTGAAAATTGTCAGATGTTCTATTCCTGTTCCTAATTTTATTCCTATTTTTGTGAAATAGCTGTGACCGTGACAATCAGAAGATGGTGGGTTTTATATTAATCTTCCAACCCATCATAAGACCGCATATTTTACCGCATATAAGTTCCATTTCATTTGAATCATAACAATACATGCATCATGGATCTAGATTGATTAAATAACAAAGACAAAAACATTAAAAACATTAAATGGGTACTGCTAAATGAGCCAAAGTACCCCCCTCCCAACTAACCCAGTTGTTCTTGATTGGCGCCATCCTCTAGGAAAGTGATTCTCTCCAGCACAGCCCAGAAAAGCACACCCAGAGAGAAGATGTCAGCCTGGGCTGTATAACTACGACCTGCCCAAACTTCTGGAGCCATATAGAAGTCTGAGCCGCAGGTAGAGGAAAGAGCCAGTCTACTCTGGACACCATCTGTAGCATTGTCCACCATCTTACTGAGGCCAAAGTCTGCCACCTGTAAGACATAAGGAAGAAGTTAACATGGTTTTAATAACTAGAACCACCTTTTAGATCTGGGGAGTGAAATATTATTTATTTTTTTACATGTATATTAACTTAACTATTAAATGTATTTAATTAAATATTTAATAATATTAAAATAATATAAAATTTCAAATGAACATATTATATCTACAAAACCATTCATATATATTCAAATCATTTCTTCACTGCATAGGACAGTTTCACTGAACAAGGGACTCGGGCTATTCATGTTTTCTTCAAAAAAAATTTAAAAAATACATATTTAGTCAAATATTATTGACAAAACTTATGTTTTTTTTTTACTGCAGTAAAGCCCCAAATATACTTGCATTGGAAAATTTGGAAACTACAAAAGCATTTATTTTAACAATTACAGATAACTCTAATTCTAAATAAGCCCAGGGCAACTTACTATCCACTTTGTGCTATGCCTAATATTTGACTGGTACACATTTAGAGCACAATTCATCTGTCGCTTCAAAGCACACTATATTGATTGTCTCTACATGCAATGAAACGTAAAAACTCATTATTTGAAACTTTAGAAGAATGGATTTTAAGACAATTCATTTCATACTTTATCTGTAAGGTGATTGTTTTGCTAGTATTTGTATTGATTAACAGAATAGGCTCAAATGTTCGGGCACATTTCGTGATTATACAAAAAAGATTTTTTGGGAAAAAACATGATTAATTATCTGGGGGTGTGTGGAATAATCCAGACCAGCAATAATCCAAACACATTTTCTTATCATCCATCGCATAAAATGTTCTCCGGGCACTTCAAACCATGAATTGTGTCTTATGTTGTAGGGCAATACCAAAGGCTTTATCTATCATGCAAATAGAAGTTCAAAAGTACTTTTGTAATGCTTTGTTATTTATCACAGCCAAGTTATAAGTGGAACACTTTCCATGCCTCCGGTCTAATAAAAATTAAATAAAAAGGGAAAGGGGTAGAAAAAAGACAATGTGGCTCTAAAAACAGTATAGACAATTTCAAAAGCAACATGAAAGCTTGTACAAATGCAAATCGAATTCGGTCCCATGAAAATTGCACTTAGTTTGACTCCATAAGACATTAGCATTTTAACCAATATTATTGTTTCTTAGATGTACATGCTTGTAACATTGCAGTAAAAGAATAATTTGATATAAAAATATTTATTTAGATTGCATCCTTTTTGTACCTTCATGACCGGTCCCGTTTTAGTAAGACAGACAAGAACATTATCTGGCTTTATATCACGGTGCACTATTCCATGCCTGTGCAGGAACGCAATGGCACTACCGAGTTGTTGAAGCACTGCATAGTTGCACTCAGCGTCTGGCGGCCTGGATAGGATGTACTGGCTCAAATCCCCTCCTTCACAGTACTCCATCACCAACCAAAGGGCAAAGCAGCGCCTGGGAACCTCCTCTGTGGACATCAGCCTCCTCTTTGACTTGGAGGGATTCCTCACTTGGGTTTTTGAGTCTTTGTCCACCACTCTCCCTTTGAGAGCACTCTCCACTAAATCCAAAGGAAGCCTCCCTGATTTCAGGGGTTGCAGTGTTCTAGGTCCAGTCTGTAAGAGGCAGTTGTATAGAGCGATGACATTGGGGTGGTTTCGTGCTGTGATTCTCATAGCCCACAGTTCCTGCAGGTAGAGCTCTATACTCTCTGGGCTACAACATGGTAGACGTTTAATGGCCACCGTGTCACCCCTCTCGCCCCAACAGCCAGTCTCTGTTACACGTCCCTTGAAGACCACTCCATAGCTGCCTCGTCCCAATTCCTGTTGTAAAGTGTAGATATCATCCATCCTAGCAGCCTTTGTTGTTCACTGCATCAAATGCGAGATTCGCTGGCGTTCTCAAGTGTTGAGTGTTTTATTTCATTGTTCTGATATTACAAGAGTAAAATAAAATTAGTTACAATAACTACATAGGTGTATACACCCAATATATATATCTATCTATCTATATCTATCTCTCTATATATATGACAGTGATTTCACATTTCTTGTTTGTATGAAGGCTAAATACCAATAAAAGGTGAACATTTATTTATTTGCGAAAATATTATATAGTTTTATAGGAGTAGGTTTCACAGTAGTTTCATTTCATATCGGAATTATATCGTATCGACCGAAATTAAGAAATATATCGTGATATAAATTTTGGCCATATCGTCCAGCCCTACCACCAGGATATATAAACCAGTACACACACACACACACACTATATATACATACATATATACATACATACATACATACATACATATATACATACGTACATATATATATATATATATATATACACACACACACACACACACACAAATACACACAGATATTAAAATGTAAACAAAGCCCTTTAACTGGACAACTCAGCTGTAAAATTCTTACAGTTCTTATTAACAATCCAGGATTAAATTACTTGTCTTATATAAATATTAATCTTCCTTTACAATAGCAGAAAGATAGACGCAATCAAATTATTAAATTAACGTTACTTCAGCATTTACACTCCTGTTGCTTTTTGTCTGTCAACAAACTTAATGAACTTACCCATGATACTGCAGCAAGTGTCGTTGCTCAAAGTTTTTTTTGATCCAAGTATAATTTATATAATAATATAAAAACGTGTTAACAACGTGCTATCTCAACACACGTATATAATTATAACAACTTGAACAGCAACATAACAACGTAAACAGCATTTCCGTAATAACACTTCCGTATTTTTTAGATCTTCGCGCGTCTGGTGCTGTTCTGCGTTTCTATTGGTCAATACCGTTGCAGTTGACCGCGGTCACCAATAAGATACGAGAACGTCACAACACCGATTCAAAAGTGACCAGTAATAATACTGTCATCGCTTTTCAACAAGGCTGGTGTTGATACATGTCTTTTAAAGGGAGTAATTAATTAGTTTTTGAAAATACAGAGAAAAGTTCATTAATAGTGTTATGTTTATGACATGTTTTGCGTGTAATTTGTTTTGGTTAATCATTACAGCGCGACTGCGACTACATCTCCGTAACTATAGAGTTATGAGTTTAAAAAACATATATTTTGGTTTATTTCCAAGCTTAAGATTCGGTATAATAAGATGTTTCCCATAGCTGTTGGGCAAACAAGTGAGCACAAAAAACATGCATACTTTTACAAGACACAGCTACATAATGAAGGTAGGTAGATTTGAACGGTGTACTCAAGAGTAGTTTACTTAAAAATCGTGTTAGGGCAAGTTGTCACATGTTTTAAATGCTGTACATTTATACAATTTGTTAGTTAAACAATTACTTGACATTTGCTTCATTTCCTTTTACTCTGTCGCTTTTTAAATTAAACCGAAAAGCCTAAGCAGGTACCACTGTGACAACTTACCCCATACTGGGTTTATTGTGACAAAACGTAGAAGCTTTGAAGCTGTTTTTACAACTAGCCCTGGTCTCCGCTATATAACGTTACCCTGTTAGAATCAAGGATTATCCAACTCTAAAGGTAGGATTAAACTTTTTTTATAGCAATTTTGTGTTAAAAACACTAAAATCCCCCATAATAATCTAACTCTTTCCAACTTTTAAAATGTGATAAAACCACTGACACAAGGTGGCTCTTTAATGCTTGCCTAAAGTTACCCAATGTCAGACACAGTTAAGGAAACCTCCATGATAACCCAAGAACATCCCTTGACTGTCTGACCAGGCTGTCACTCCCACATTCTCGCATTACAGAAAATACTCAACCAACTATTTTCTTCTTATTTTATATCTCTGCTAACTATAGCAGCACCTATGTCTTACCAGTAACCAAAGAATTTCTCATTCCTCATCCAATTAGTGTCCTGAGATATGTTCCAGCTTGGTTTTTGTGTGCTACATTTCCTAGTCTTTTCAGAACTATATCATTTTTTTCTTAATTTAATCAAATAAATGTACGATATGTGAATAAATACAGCTTTGATTGAAACTTCTTTCAACATTGGATCTCTCATCCACAGGCTTTGTATTTCACATATTTTCTTATATTGAATCATATCTTTGGGTTATTCTGCTGAAATCAATTAAGTGTCTAGTATTAATAGTCATCATTGGAAATTATTGCCAAGGGCCTCCCATAAAACATAGTGGTGTCTCCCACAGGGACATGGACATGCCTCAGCGCTCTTCATCGCCTCATATAACAATACAACTTTGCACTGGAATGATGAAGGGAATGAAACAACATTGACCAGAGAGGCCCCCAATCATTCTGCATCACGGAGGTGAATAAGCCCACTCGAATAATTGCATATCTTGCGTAGAACTGACTTCAATTTTACTCTGAGGTGGTAGCTCACCACAATGCATTCAGCTGCTCATTCCGTGATTCAGCCGCTGCTGTAATATGATGTGGCACAGAATCTCATGAGTTTCTTTGTAGCGGCATGGCGCATTTCTGTTTGTTTTTTAATAATCTTTCATTCCAGTCTTACTGCATGGAACAGTATGCAAATGCAAGGGACAGGGACTCAGGTGATGGGTTATTTGGGTTGTTTATGATTTAGGAATGAGTTATCAAAGACTGAATATTGGACGCATCACATTAATAATTGTGATGCTTATTGGTTCATGTCCTCAGTGGCGCAAATGCATGACACATGTTTTGTATAATCACTATGTTCATTTAGAGATTAATTACAAATCAGGATTTGTGTTTATTTTTGCATCTAATCCATGTTATCTAACAGCCTCTGAAATGACATGATTAGGGAGATCAAAGCAAGCTATTGTAACTTAATGGGTGCTCTTATTCAGACCTATATTAGCTACTGGTCTTACCCAAATGAGTTTATTTTTCAGCAGGCTTTTCCTAATGCTGAACCACTTACAATTATATATGCCCATTCAAAGTAATTATCAGCTAGAACACAATGTTACAGTATTTCAATTTTCCTCAATGCTTTGGTTGAGGTGGGTTTTTTTTTTTTTAAGGACTTAGTTTTTTTGTTTTTTTTATTGCTTGCATGCTCATATATGCTCATTGTATAAGACTCCACCATCCCTGCTGGAAAGACAAGGTCCAAGCTGGTTTATGCTGGTTTAGTTCAAACCGATTTGAATTCCAATTCAAATTTGAATAAAAGGAAATAGAATTTAGACAGCCTTTGAAGGTTTTGAAAGATAAAGTTAAAGTTTATAGATATTTACATTACACATCTGGCAGATGCTTTTATTCAACTTACATTGTATTTAAGTGATATGTTTTATTAGTTCATGCATTCTCTGTGAATCAAAACAACCTTGGCATTGCTAGCCCCATACTACTCTGTAGTTCAGTACAGATAGAATTTTGTACTATACAGTCTATACAGTACAGATAGAATTTTAAATGTCACCAATAGGAATTGGTATATATTTCATCATATTTAGTAAATGAACCTTTGCGGACAAGAGTGGAAAAACACTTCATTCCCCAAAATGCATTACCTGTATTGATTTTCTCAGAATAGCAATTCTGTAAATTCCTTTTTCTGTCATTCACAATTTAAATTTCATTTCAACTTCATGTGGAGTGTTGCCAATTCTGTTCAGTTCCAATTGAAATTGCAACTTATAAACTGAGAAGGAGCCAACTGAACTCAGCTGTTTGAAGGCTGAGATATGAGCTCAATTTGACCGAAAAGAAAATTCATTTTATTTAAATGCTGCATGAAAGCAAGTTATTTGTATAGCTGTATGATTCATAACTCTTTTTGTTAGTGTTCTCCTCATATTCTTGTTGGCACAATCCTGTCTTTCCTTTGCGGAGGATGTGAAGTCTCATCATCCACTGAGACTTCTTTTTGCCTCTGGGAGATTTTTTTTTTTTCCTGCATGTACCGCTCAACTGTAAATTGCATTTCGAGCTTAATTTGCAATTCGCACTCCCAAGCCAGCGATTAGCTTGTTAAAGGCACGTTATCTAAGTTTCTGATCATCAGTTAATTGATGGGAACTATGTTTGGACATATACAGTCAATATGCCATTGGATAAAACCAATGAATTTTTAGTCCGTTACAAATTGAATGATGTATATTTTTAGCCCAGGTCATATCTTCTGGGGTGGTTGCACTGCATTAGGGAGACTAGTTTTCCTCAGATTAATTACCTGAGCCATGTTAAATTGATTTTTACCCTAAAATATTAGAGCAGAAGTGTTGCATGCATAATTACATACATCAGATAGAACCAGTAGGTCAAAGCTGCCATATCTGGTGTTCACTTTTTCTATTGCTTGTAATTATGCATAGTTGTGACACTTAATTGATTGTATTTTATTCCATCCACATGATCTCAGCTGCTTCTGAACTTGGACTATATACAGTGTCATAGTATTTCTATCATACAATAGCCATCCTGAATACTGCTTAGTGCATTCTTATATGGTGGATTATATGCCATGCATAGAAATTTCATAATACACCTCTACAGCTCAGTGCGAGCATTATTAATCAAAAACAACTTTTTCTGAAGCCTGTTTCATTTTGATTTGGAAATCGCAAACACTGTGAAGAAATCGGGACTTTCCGTGAGTCAAACGGTAGCAAATGCGCACATACAAACCTGTGAACGTCCTTGTGAAATGTACTAGACCAAGTGTTTTCAACGTTTATAGATTCAGGAACACTCTTATAAAAGGTTCCAAAATGCAGTTTTCACAGAAGGAGAACCTTTTTTTTTTTCTTAGTGTGTAGAACATTTTAAAAATATAAAAAAACACTTTTCCACTATAAAGAACATTTTTATGTAATGGTAAAGCTCCATGAATGTTCATAAATATCAGAACCTTTTAATAGAAAAAGAAAGTGAAAGAGTGGGGAAAAATATATTTGCTTGGTATTATTTAATGTTTTTATTAAGAATATTCCTCAATAAGATCATGGATCATTAGCAAATGTTCATTCAAATAATTAGAAAATGTATGAAAATACTTTTTTTCACTTTCAATATTTTTCACGTCTCTGATCACAAAAAAAATACAGTTAAAAACAGTAATATTAAGTATTATTATAATTTTAAAAATATTTTTTATTTATTTAAATAGGCTATATTTTAAAATGCTATTTATTCTTGTGATGGCAAAGCTATATTTTCAGCAGCCATTACTCCAGAAATCATTGAAATCATGCTGATTTGGTGCTAATATATTATATCATATGATATCATATATCATATATATTTCTAATTATTATCAATACTGAAAACAGTTGAACAGTTTTAGGATTCTTTGACAAGTAGAATGTACAAAAAATCCTTATTTAAAAATTTTAAAATGTCTTTATTGTCACTTTTGATTAATTTAATGCATACTTGCTGAATAAAAGTATTAAATAATTTTTTTTAAACATAGTAAGAAATGTTGTAATTATCTCTTTAAAGTATTCTCCTTGGTTGAAAAACCTGGTACTGAGCTGTAAAAGGAGTTTAAGAACTAGGCAAGATGAAGCCAAGAGGCAAAATTGAATCAAATTAGAATCCCTGATGTAGCTAAATTGCTTAACATATTCCATTTGAGTTTTAAGATTTATTTATTTTTTTTTATATCTTGGAGCCACTTAAAATTTGCTCTGTTATTTGATGAAACTACACGGTCTCAGCCACTAGAGCATCTGGAGAATCATTCATTTATTTTCCCTATACAGAAAAAGTTCAGTCCCTGAAGTATTTTCCCCTGGTTGAAAACTCTGGTACTGGAGCTGTAAAATGAGTGTAAGAACTAAGCAAGATGAAGCCAAGGGGCAAAATTGATTCAAATTAGAATCCCTGATGTAGCTAAATTGCTTAACATATTCCATTTGAGTTTTAAGATTTATTTATTTTTTTTTATATCTTGGAGCCACTTAAAATTTGCTCTGTTATTTGATGAAACTACACGGTCTCAGTCACTAGAGCATCTGGAGAATCATTCATTTATTTTCCCTATACAGAAAAAGTTAATGTCATAAACTGAAAATTGAAGAATAATTACCAATGAAACATCTCACCCCTCTACTCTTCTCTTTCCTTCATCAGATATCACATTGGCTACTCTGACTAAGTTCCTGCTTCATTTGTTTGTTCCGGTGTGTGTTCCGTGTAGAAGTCATGAAGACCCCATTTTGGACCCTGCTGCTCTTATGCTTGTGCTCCTCGGGTCACAGCGACTGCCAAGGGGACTGTTTAACCTGTGGACTCATCCTACCTGAACACCAAGCGTTTAACACATTGGTAAGCACCACATCTAACTAACATAAAAGTACAAGCTCCCTATTAATGTTTGTGGTTTTGAAACGAAATTCTAATAAGTCAGAGATGTCTTATCTTACAGCAGGAGTGGATGAGAAACTGTGATACAAATGAACTTTGTTAAAAGTTGGTCGCTGTCACGATAGTGGCTGTAATCAAGTTGTTAATGACTGTTCTGACCAAACAGCTGTGACTGGGGTGATTGGTGTAATGTCTGCCCATAATTGGCTGCTGTGGTGCCCTCAGCTGCTGATGTTGTGGGTAGGAGTGATTGACACTTGGTGGAGGCGCTCCTGCCATGACCAGATGGGTCCCTGTGGGCATGCTTTTGCTCTGTGACACCACAGCGATGTCAGACGTTAGGATTTTATCAACAGATTCATACAAAGACTTAGAAGATGTATTCACACTCACATCCAAAAAAGGGGGTTTCACAGAAGAACCATTTTTAGTTCCCCCGAAGAATATTTTATTGTAAGCCTTTTTTCTTTCTTGTTGTGAAGAACATTTTAAAAATCTAAAGAACCTTTTTCCACTATAAATAACTTTTTGTGCAATGGAAAGGTTCCATTTATGTAATGGAACCATCTATGCCAATAAAGAACCTTTATTTTTAAAAGTATGCATGCATGTGTTCCGAAACACATCTGTATTTCATAACTATCTTCTATCTGAATGTTTTTCATTTGCCATCAACATAACATTTCACTGTGGACTATTACTTTCCACGCATTCAACGTCTAGTTTCACTCCACTGTTATAAGCCCCTATACAATTGATGATTTTCTCCCTATAAATGGGAGATTAAAAAAAGACTACCCGTCCTTAAAAAGGGCATCACATGAACATTTTGTGGAAAGAACCTGCATTTGTCTACAGCTGATCACATACAAAATTATGATTTTTATCCCATTCTAGTCACTCAATTATCATATCATTTCTTGCACCAATGCCATATATTATTTCACACCCCATTGCAGTGGTTAGACCGTTTGCGTGCAGTATTGTGCCACTAGGAATTTTTTATACTCAGCTTTTTTTATTAGAAAGGGCAAATTCAATCATTAATAAAAACATGATACATTTCTAACAAAGGAAAATGTATTATTTTTATAATGAACTAAAATGATACAGGAAGCAAATAAAAAATATAAATAAAACATACAAAACATGAATAAAGACATTTTATATAATTTTACAAAATATATATATATATATACAGTGGGGGAAAAAAGTATTTAGTCAGCCACCAATTGTGCAAGTTCTCCCACTTAAAAAGATGAGAGAGGCCTGTAATTTTCATCATAGGTATACCTCAACTATGAGAGACAAAATGAGAAAAAAAATGATATTTTATTAATTTTTTTTTTTTTTTACAAATAAATGCTTTTCTGTCATTTGAACTTTATTAAAGAATTCAGCACTACTGTTTTCAGCATTGATAATAATAAGAAATGTTTCTTGAACACCAATCAGCATATTATAACTTCTGAAGGATCATGTGACGCTGAAGACTGCTAAAAAAAATCAGCTTTGCCACCACAGGAATAAATTACATTTTAAAATATATAAAAATAGAAAATATCAAGTATTTCTATAATAGTTCTTACTGTATTTTTTTAAATAGAGAAGAGCATGTTCAGTACAATTTAACCAATATTTGTCAATATTACATAAGGAAAGTTTCTACTCTAAAAGTATTTTGTCATGTAAAAAAATCTCTGCTGTTTTGCAGATATGTATCCTGGAATGTGAAGCACAGGCATCTCCTGCATTGATCTGGGATTTGTGTTACCAGGCAGCAGGTCTGAACCAGCTTCCACTACCATTACAGGAGGAGAAAACATCAAAGCTCTCTGATGATGAAGCGGAGCCTCTGGCCACAGTGAGCATAGAAAATGACAATGGTGTTGAGTATACTGAGGCTTTGGAGCGGTTTCGACATGCTGCGCAAGCGCTCCGCAACCAGCAGCCTTCAGGGGAGGAGGAGAAACTGGAAATTTCATACGACCCGAACCTTGACCCGAGGACAGAAGAGGACCAGGATGGTGTAGGAGAAGAGAAGAGCGGTGAAGCAGCCGTAAGCATATCCAAGCGATTTGGAGGCTTTATGAAAGGTCGTCACGGTTTCCGGAAGTTGGTGAGCTCTGGAAGGCCTTTGCAGAAACGCTACGGTGGCTTCATAGGGATAAGGAAATCTGCCCGCAAGTGGAACAACCAGAAGCGTGTGAGTCAGCTACTGAGGCAGTACCTGAGCTTGACGGGTCGCTCGGGGCGTTCAGGTCACATCAGCAACCTCTCCACCAGAATCCGAAGACAGAATGAAGCTTAGCTGGCCTTAGAGCACAGGCCCTGGTCTTTTCACTTACCTCAGCTCAACTGCTCATCAGCCATCAGTAACTGTGAACATCTATCATGCACCAGAGCCCAGAACTAGCTAAATCTGTGTTTAATCAAAGAAGAGGAATATTTTGTATAGCGTTGGTTTTTATCATTGACATTTCCGTTGACAGTGCCGTTCCTGACATCAAAAACATCTCGATCAAGTCTTTAGGACAAATGTTGCTGATGAGAACTGATTGTTCATTACAGAATCAAAACTCCTAGAATTAACCTTGAAGCATTGTGAAAAAATAAATAAAAGGCAAAGCAGTGAAACTTGAATTGAGCACGTGAATCAGTTACAAATGAGAGCAATGGCTTGTAGTAAAGTATGGGGTTTGTTCTATTTGAGAGAACAGCACTTTATATTTTAACCTTGCACACTGTATTGTGCTAAGATTGGTTGTTTTGCACACGTCCTTGATGTATAGAACTGTCTTAAAATTTACTAGAGCAATCAAACGAGTTATCAAAATCAGTAGGTGATTATATGTAGCACAATATTGAAAGAACGAAAATCTCTATGGGCTGTTTTGACGGGGTTTTTTTTGGATCGATGCTGCCCCCTAGAGTGTAAACTCGAAATTATGCTCCTAATTTTTGTGCAATACCACGAAAAAAAAATAGACAACTTTAGGCTTTGTAATCAAAACCTCAGCCCGTGCATGTTAGCCAATCAGAAAACGTTGGGGTGGCTTTCTGCCAGTAGTGTGAGTTTGGGAGCGGGATTACCCAGTTTGTCCTAACAATAAACCATTGGGAGTGTTCAGAAAATCTGTTTGAATTTGAAAACAATTCAGTCATTTTATTTATAAATCAGTTTGGTGCAAAAATGGCGCCTTTAATTGTTTGGTTAAACCTGGTGATAATGCCATTTCGGTTTAGCATGCGTTCCAGCGTTCTGCATTTGTTTATGCATGAACATATACGACTGAGGTCATCTTTAGCGCTTGACACTCTCCCTCACATTATGAGTTTTGAAAACTGACACCCCACATGTAAAGAAAGAACTAGCAGATAGGGTTTCAGTGTACTTTACAGTATTCTTCATATAAATGTACGATTTTGTGTGTAGACATCTTGGATTTGTGAATATTTTTCATTTCAAACACATTCTGCAAGCATTTTTGGAAAGTGAGTTTTTTTCCTTTAATCCTCTCCACTTGTACATGAAATGCACACAAAAGGCCAATAAAATAATTTTACATTGTTCTTGTTATTTGTCATGCACAAATGACAAGCTTTTGAAATTTGCTTATTTTATCTTGTCTTTTAATCATACATAATTTTTTTTTTTCAGTATGATGTTACGCTTTCAAATCTTTTCAGATATTATCAAGGGGATGATTCCAGTATTGTAACAAGACCTTAACACTTTTTGGAAGGATGACAAGAAACGTACAAAAGGAAACAAGCCCGATCTATTCTCCGGGCAATATTCAGTCAAGCTCCCTTTAACTCTTTGCAATAGCACTTTGGTATTCAATCAAAAGGTTATAGCTGCACTTTTTATCTCCATTAGACAACATACTGTGGCCATCAATGTGGCCAGCATCATTCACATCTTTCACTCAACACCACTGTAGCTTTTTAATCTGGCAGTGTAGATTGATTAGGAAGCGCTATGGCATACGACCTTAGTCAAACTTTGTGAAACTCAAAAGTTGTGACTAAATTCTGGGTAAATGCGTAGGGGAAAAAAAGACAATACATGACATTTCACTGTTACACCTTTCAGACTAACAAAACGGCAATAGAAAAACATCATGAAAATGCTCAAAGCAATACAATGTCCACAGTATACAAAAATCAACAACCACTTAAATATCTCAGGTATGGATGAAGTGCAGGACTAGGGTAGAAAAACACCTCGATCAGATACAGGATTACACTTTAGTCTCGTGAGAGGGCAGAATTCACCTTTGAAGGGTTGGGATCCTACTACTCCACAGTCTCAACAGCTAGTACCAGCCTTCACTTTGGGGGAAAACATAACAAAAGCAATCCTTTTAACTCAAAGGAAAACAAAAAAGGTAGAAAAGTGAAAAGACGGGTCCTCTACAGTGCAGGAAAAGAGTTGGAGGAAAGAAAGAAAATGGAGATTCTTTCTTTATACAAAAATCAACAACCACTTAAATATCTCAGGTATGGATGAAGTGCAGGACTAGGGTAGAAAAACACCTCGATCAGATACAGGATTACACTTTAGTCTCGTGAGAGGGCAGAATTCACCTTTGAAGGGTTGGGATCCTACTACTCCACAGTCTCAACAGCTAGTACCAGCCTTCACTTTGGGGGAAAACATAACAAAAGCAATCCTTTTAACTCAAAGGAAAACAAAAAAGGTAGAAAAGTGAAAAGACGTGTCCTCTACAGTGCAGGAAAAGAGTTGGAGGAAAGAAAGAAAATGGAGATTCTTTCTCGTCTCCTAAAGTCTTTTTTTGTTTAGTCTGGGAACCGCTGACAGGCTTTCTTCCAGCGGCAGGCAGTGCACCATTGGTCCCGCCGCTCCACGCCGTACACTTTTCGGCACTTTTTGGCCTCACCTCGGCCCTTCCTGAGGACATAAAAAGGATAAATAAAAAAATTTAAATGTACAGTTGTTATCTTATATAACTTTTGTGGTGTAACATAACTGTAGTCAGAATGATCAGTCATATTAATATTTACGACTTCAAAACATACTAAGCTAACTGCGCTAACAGAATTATCTTTGCTTAGAGATCTTTTACTTAGCCACAGAGGGCAGCATTTAACTGAGAATGATCATTAATAATACCTGAATGAACAGTGCCCTCTGGAGGGAGATGCACTCATGGTCTGTGATCTGGTGGGGGCGCTGTTCCTCTGTAGCCACTGTTCTCCAACACTCACTGACCGGCTGCGAAATGCTGGAATCTACAGATCAACATAGTAATAAAAGGACAGATGGCATAAAGTGTTTTAAAATGCACCACCGATGACGTTAACTGCTTCTGGAGAGGCAGACCAACCTGAGGTTTCTGCTGGACGTCACCAGATGGGGTCCAGCTACAAAAGGTGGGAGAGCCTGGAGAGACCGTCACCTGAATGGGTGCGCAGGCCTGCAGAAAACAAGATTTAGATTTTTTTCTATAATCAATAATAAAGGGATAGTTCATCCATTAAATGAAATCTGTTCATTAGACTTAGATTAAACCGCTCGATTTCAGCCGTTATCTCAGCTGATCTGTACCTGATAGAGATGTTCAGTGTGGATCTGCCACACGCTGCTTGGAGCTGATTGGCTGAGTGTGCTTGACTGGACTGGAGCATCTTGGGGTCCTGGGGTGGATTGGCTTTGTGTGGAGCTGCAGGAGGTCCAGGTCCCACTGGAGAAGGATGGAGCAGGAGATGGAGGTGCAGTTTCCTCATCTTCAGAGGAGACCTCTGTGTAGTAGAAGTCTTCCTCCCTACGTGACTGCTCTGAGCCCCCACTGTTTAAGAGAAAACAAAATAAAGGGAAAAAATACAATGCATTATTTGAAGGTTATTTTCAGGCCTAGTAAATAATGTAAACTTGCAGAACTATACATGGTTTTTCAACATCATAAACACTTATATTGCTTAAAGATGCTTCATAATGTTCCTGTGCCGTCTCAGTTGTTCCAAGAGTTTGGTGTGTGTAAGGACATACTCACCCCAGGTGAAGAATGCGAATGTGCCGTTTCATTCCAACCCGTGATGTCAGCACTTTCCCGCAGCCAGGCCACAGACACCTGTATGCTCCCCTGCTCATGCTCTGAGAATGAGAAAGAAAAACAAAGAGTGACTCACATGTATTTTTAAAACATCAGCTTAAAACTCTGTCTATTCACCCTCAGGTTCTGCAGTCTGACAGTTTTCTCATTCTCACCTTGCACCTCCTGGCCTCCGGCTCCTCACATGCGGCTTGGTCCAGCTCCATGTGCAGTCCTTCGTCTGTCAGTTGGCCCAGGCTCCTGTCCATCTCGGTGACCGATGGAGAAGGGGCTGGGCTGACATTGCCGTGGTCCCAGCTCCAGTAACCACTGCTGCCGCTGTCAGATAGCTCACCTCCACAACACTCCATGTCCCCTGTAGTCACAGCCAAAAAAAAGGGGAAGTGTGAATAACACGCTTAACCATACAGTTGCTGAATTAATTGGTGGGGTGTGTGTAATACTGTTTAATGAAACATATAATCACTTTATAATTAAATATATAATTTTACAAAAGTGAGTGAGAAAACCACAGAATTGGTAAATTACATGTTGGGTTGTAATGTTGGGTTGCATGTTGAACTGTTTAATAAAATTGTAATATAATAATTAAATATTTATATAATTAAATAAGTGTATAATCAAAGAGAAATAAATAAGACAATTTTTTCAAAAATTAAATGTGTAACAGGTTGCTGGGTTGTAATGTTGGTTTGTATGTTGGACTGCATAATATATGTATAAAATATTATATAATCATCAAAGATTTCTATAATTTAATATAAAGTGTATAAAGTGAAATTCATAAGACAAAAAAACGAAAGAGCAAATAGCTAAATGAATTGTTAGACTGCATGTTACACTGTATAATAAAATTATAATATAAAAATTTAAAAGAGATATTAATAAAAAAATTAAGAGTGACAAAAACATAAATCCTAAAATAATTGTTGGGTTGAGTTTTATACTGTATAATAAAACTGAAACATTTAATATACTAAATAAATATATAATTAACTGAGTGCATAATTAAAAAGCTAAATAATAAAACATAGAAAAATGGAAAGACTGACAAACCTAAAGAATTGCTCAATTAATTGTTGGGTTGTGTGTTGTACTAGATCATCATGGAAAATATATAAGATGCACTTAATTAAAAAGTAAAATTAATAAATTATAAAAATGTCTACCAAATTCTAAAAATATACTAGATGAGAATCTGATGAGACTTTGTTTAAAATAAACTGTCTGCAGTGGTTTGTCAAGCATACACTGCAAAGTGCTCCGTGTTTGGCAAGGTGTGGTTTGCAAAAGAAACCAGTTCACCTGGTAGGAGGTCCCTCTGCGGGGGGCTTTGAACCACTGGACTGCAGGACAGACTGGTGAGCACCATTGCAGCCATGATCTCATCCATCTCCACTGACTCTGGACTTCTGAAATAAGGCAGAGAGTAAAAACTCTTCACACGACTACATTACAGATCTATGAAGTAAGATTGCCCGCAATAACGTTTCACCATTATCACACAATATCTGTAGAGTACTTCTGCTCTATCAGAGTCAGGGTTATTCTAAAGCAGGGGTGGGCAAACTTAGCCCTTCCAGGCCACTTTCCTTCAGAGGTTAGCTCCAACCCTAATCAAACACCCCTGAACCAGCTAATCATTGTCTTCAAGACTACTAGAAGGCTACAGGCAGGTGAGTCATATCAGGGTTGGATCAAATCTCTGCAGGAAAGTGGCCTGGAAGGGCCAATTTGCCCATCACTGTTCTAAAGTGAAACAGGGCTGGTATATTTAGAAGACAACAAACTAGACCGATGAAATGGATCTGTAGGTTAACCTGTAAGGTAAGTCCACACCGGAAGACCGTGGGAAGGATAGAAGGTTTCCATCGGCTGACCACTCTGTCCCTGCATTCAGCTTCTTCTGCACACCCACCCCTTCTCCCTGGCCACAACCCTGCATGTAGACCTGCAGGATTGGAAACAATCAATTACACACTTGCCTTTATCTATGTATAAGTTACAGGGGCTATATATCATCATTTATTATGACACATACCAATCCGTCCTGCCCTTCTGTGCACATCGATATCGTGTCTAGTCCTGCTCTGGATCCCACCGCTGCCATGCTGTGCCCTCTCAGCTAAACAGTCGGCTTTGGCTCTCCGCACAAAAAGCTAGAAAGCAGGAAAAGCATGTTAAAACACCGTGCATTTACAGTGCATGTTTTAATCTAAACGCCAAGCTGGTTTATAACAACTCACAAGCTCTGCGACAGCGCCACGAAAATAAATAAATAAAATGTACAAGCAACACCCTCTATTAAAAACTAAAGCATTTATTCGAGACTTTCAGGATAAATTAATTACTCATAACATGAGAAAGACAACAATGTTATGTAACAATCAAAAATACCTTTATCGAATACACGCGATAGATTTTTGCATATAGATAAGCAGCGCAGTCGGATATTGCTCGGTGCCTTTACTTTTTTTTAGGGCAACACACCCCCTGACTGTGAGCCTCTCAGATACTGTAACTCCGGATTTAGGGAGTGAAATCATCGAGAGATCCAAACCCCGCATCGGAATTCGGATTCACCATCGCGACTCGAGTGTTTTGAATCCATTCACTAAAAAGATTCATTCGCTGATTCGTTCTATAGCTCTATACTATTGATTGGAAACACGGTAGGCGAGTCTTTTATTAGTGACTCAATGAATCATTTTCGTTAGAAACCACCAATTCGAAGTCTGTATGGTATTTTCAACTTTGCATTTTCTTCAGGAAATGCTATTCTAGTTTGAATATTAGGAACAGCTAAATTAAACTATGCCATTTGTTTAATCCAGATCCATACTTTAGCTGTGACTCTCGTAATGGGCGTTTACATCCAGCAAAAAACAACCTTCCCACTGGAGGCGGAAGCTGCGTTCTGATTGGCTGACTCGGTTCCCCGAAGGACACACCTTCGTCCAACAACGTGTGCGTACACGAGTTTCTGCTCAACCCCCGTTTATGTACACAATCCAATAGGCAAAACAACAGACAGTTGCAATACAATAAATCACATTTGTGCACATTATTCTAGAAAATGCAGATATAAATACCCATTAAGCCACATGCATTAGACTGCCACACTAAACAAAAACATTTAAACAGCGTATTTTCTCGACAGGACCGCGGTAGGATTCAAATCAGAACAGTTCACATAAACAGCGGCTATATGATTTTAGTGGGAAAAGTCTGTAGACATGCAGTAAAATAAACACTCAATATCTGCCATACCGTCACTGAAAACCCGGCATGTTTAGTGATTTTACCTTGAATGTTTTCGTAGGGAGAGATGTCGCTGTCTGCTGCTCACCAGTGCTTCTCTGCCGTCAGTCGGGGGCGGGGGGCTGTGCGTCGCGCTCGCGCAGTTTGCGTGTGTTTGTGTGTGTGTGTGTGTGTGCGTGAGACCCTAGTCCACAAAACCAGTCACCAGGGTAATTATTTTTTAAATTGAGATGTATACATCATTTGAACGCTGAATAAATAACTTTCCATTGATGTAGTATGGTTTGTATTTGGCTGAGATACAACTATTTGAAAATCTGGAATCTGAGGGTGCAAAAACAAAATCTAAATATTGAGAAAATTCCCTTTTAAGTTGTCCAAATGAAGTTCTTAGTAATGCATATTACTAATCAAAAATTAGGTTTTGATAGTTATATTTACGGTAAATTAAAAAAAATATCTATAGGCTATACACAGTGTTATTCTTGTTGATTAATAGTTATTAATATAAAATAATTTAATGATGTGGTGTTATGGTGTAGGCCTAAAAGAAAATAAGATTATTAAAAAAGGGTTATTTTAACTGCTTCTCCCCTAATACTGGTATGTTGCATCAACTCTTACAAAAACAGAAACAAAACAAAAATCATGTACTATGAGTCAAATAATAGTTTCACAGTTATAGTTCAAAATATTGTTTTTATTTCCAATGTAATATACATGATAAAAAGTATTCCACAAAAATAATGATTTCATTTTTATTAATATATAGCCTATGTGTGAATAGACAGACAGACAGATTATTTTAAGTCATTCTAAGGTAACTGCCCAGTTTAGACAGCATTCTGCAGTTTCCAGAGCAGTCCATTGACGTGTCACCTTTCACCTACATCATTTGGTCTATTTCGTAAATATTCAGCATTGTGTATTTACAAACAGACATTTAAAAGAAAGCATTCATCATGTAATGATGTCTGGGGATTATAAGCTTTCTTCTGTCGGCAGCCGTGCCCGACGGACTTCATCCTCCAAAGGGGATTTTAGGTCTGGACAGCACAAGCATGTTGGGTTTCAGTCTCTGAATCCAGTCTGGGTACTGGCTGGAGGCATTGTGTCATGTGACTCACACTGACCTACAATAACCCAGACATGGTTGGATTCCTTTATAGTTTTATATGAAGTTATGGCAATGAATGGACAAATTTATTAGTTCACATGATAAAAAGTAAATAAATAAAAAAAGATTTATTTTTAACAACATATTTTTGTTGCAAGTTTGTTTTAAGGCTTGCAAAATGTGAATAAATACGAATAATGTATTTTAAATTAAAATGTTGGCCTTCTGTCATACTAGAAATGTTTGTCTGGAATAGGAGGGACAGCCTCCTTAGCAATATCACTCATATCAACCACAGTATCCGTATCAAACAGAGGTGCTATGTTCTTCTGACTCTTGGTTTTCCAGTTCACTGCAGCATATACAGCAGTCGGTTCTGAGTTGGTCAGATGTTGAGGTAAAGCATCAGGCTGCTCCACTGCCTGCTTGTTTACTGGTTTGTTGGGGGCTGAGACGGAGTGATTATCATCAGGCTTTGTCATTGCTGGAGAAGGGCTCTCATTCTCCCCTTCAGCTTTGTCAGATGGAGGCTGTAATGGAGGCTCACTAATGCACTCATAAGGATTTTCCTCATTCAGTTGAGCCTCCACGAGTGAGTATATATGATCAGTTAGATCCTTGGCATCTGGCATATATTCAACACTCTGGGACTCAGGTAGTTTCTGCAATAAGGGCATTAGTTTGTAAGAATATTTATTTATCATTTAGTTTTTTTTTTTCATATCGCATACTATGACTTTTATGCCGGACTTATAAAAAAAATCATTATTAGCTTTCTCTATATGCTTTCCATTACAGTGTAATTTCCTTTAATCCAATAATTCTGGAAATTACTTATCCTCTCTTGCTGATTCACTGCAATTTACCACTAAATGATTTTAATTGACCATAATAGGATAGATATGGTTCAATAGACCGCAAACGGTCTCATAGCAGGAAAAAGTGAGTTTGTCCTTTTAAAGCAAATTGTCATCATCGGTCATATGATTCAGCATTGGCTTAGTATTCAGTATAAGCTAATGGTCAAATAAATAACTATTTCTGCACAATCTAACTCTAAAAATTATTTTTGTTGCTGTAGTCTAATCTGGTCAGGTTTATTTGGTCATATTAAAGAATTTTTAAAAACATTTAGAACATTAGAAACATTAGAACATTAAAAACATTTCTTGCTCACCAATATGTTCACCAGTGAATGGATGCCGTCAGAATGAGAGTTTTTAAACAGCTGATAAAAACATCAAAATAATCCACAAGCTGCATGTTTGTTATACACACACAAATCATATACACCAATAAGACATTTTTTACTTCAAACCATTGCTTCTGGCTAGAATACAAGTCCTCTATTCATCATATAGCTTTCTCCATAGAAAAAGTCATCGGAATCAGGAGAGAAATATGCACAGATCATATGCATATTTCTTCAATATGCAAACAGTCCAAAACAGTTCACAGTCACTGATGCAAACATTATTATGGAATATTGACTGCTATTTTGGCCAGAAGCAATAGTTTAAAGTTAAAACACTTTATTGATGGACTGGAGTCGTGTGAGTTACTTGTGGATTATTGTGAGGTTTTTATCAGCTGCCATTCTGATGGCACCCATTCACTGCAGAGGATCCATTGTTGAACAAGTGATGTAATCTAAATTAGTCAAATCTGTTCTGATGAAGAAACAGACTCATCTATCAAATTTTCAGCAAATTGTAATTTTTGGGGTGAATTTTTCCTTTAAATAATATTTTGACTTAAAATAAAGTAATTTAGATGCTGTCAAGTGAAACACATTTTGAAGCAACCTGCCAATTTTTTACAGTATATTTTAATAGTGAACAAAAAGCCATTGAAGCAACAACCAAGAGTAATACTAATTAATATATTCTATTCTGAGTATGAGTTTTGCCTTATGTAAGTCTCTTACATTTTGTTGAGGTGCAGATGGAATATTTGTTTTCTCTCGTCTGTGCAAATACCTGGGTGAAACACTGTCAGATATACTGGAGACGAAAAAAGAAAAGTCACTATTTCACATGTTACAGATACACAGTAGCAACCACTTTGGATCCTGTTTATTTTCCTGATATTTTTTGCATGGTCTCTGCATGCAAACATGATGCTATCAGTCCATCTTTGTGGTTTACATAAACACAAAGGTACCGGAGTTGACAAACAGGTCTCTGCTTTTCTTACAATAACACAAACATTAATGTTATTCATGCTGCGTGACATGCACTTGGTGACTTCATTGTGCTTCTGAACCTGTCATTGCACATTCCACCCATTTGCTCACAGCATTCTGTTACGATCACTCCCTTCTCCTGGGTGTGTTTTGAATCAGCACAAAATGTGATACTGACCAAATTCCTAAATATGTACGTAAATATATAAAAAAGAACAAATGAAAAAGAGAAAATAAGAGACTTACCTGAAACAGCTTGTACAAAGGCTGTAGACTGTGACATAAATGATGATGAAGAGGGCTGACACAATGCTAATCTGAAGGGAGGAAGAACAACCTGATAACCAGCTGACCAGACCCTCCTCAACAGGAGCCATCACTCTTCATACAGTTTCTGTAATGACTGAAATGTAAGAACTGAAGGAAAGTAAAATCAATAATCTGTAACAGCTGCTATTCTCAATGAGATTGTTGACGGGCCAATGAGTAAAAGTATGAAAGCGAATATAATGTAAGCAGTTATTATGGTTCCCACAAACATGATGACTACACGGGTGAGTACTTGTACAAGTCACACCTCTCTTTCATGTTAACACAGACAGGAGTTACTGCAATGTTAACTCTATTACTAATTTAAAAAATGCAAGATGAAACAGTAGCGGATGAGTAATACCAAAGAGTAATACCAAAAGCAGTGTAACATTTACCTTAAGCATACAGATCTTTCAAATGAATATTCATGCACTGATATTATACATCATCTGTGTGAGATTTTTCATAAACTAATATCTATAAACAGCCGCCTTTTCTCAGTTTGCTAAAGAGAATAAAAGGGAATATCCAATTACCTTTGACCTCAGTTACACGATCCTAGATCACCTGTCATCATCTTGTCTTTACTGGCAGCAGGAACACACTGATCCAACAGGGATTTGACCAAGTCACAATTTCTCATTCTGGATTCCTGTCACTCCAGTGCCTAGTCCATACATCCCTCAAAACAATTAACTTCGCTCGCATACTTGTTCATTCAATTAGCTTAGATGCTTATTTTTAATAATAAAAGTATAATTTCTCTATTCTGATTTAGATTTTATATAAAATTGGGTTAGTTCTGTTTTGAATGATATCTATACCTACAGTAATTAAAACAAAAATTTTGTCTCAGTTCATGTATGGAACACTGCTGCCTCCTAATGGAAAAAGGATGTATGATCAACTGTATTTCAGTAATGTCTTTGCACAAAAACTACTGTTATGATACACTAAAATAATAACTATATGATATAGAATTGTAACTTTTTTACTTACAAATGTTAAGTCTCATTCAACTTGCTTGACTCAAATCAAAACTCTCCAAAGATTTATTACATGGATTTTAATGTAAACTTTTATTAAAGTACAAAGCAATATCTAAGGCACATTTTAGTTTAAACACCAGGGTTAAACTGAGGTAGAAATGATTTGTTATGAAATAAATACAGTACATCATATATCAAGGGGGGAAAATAAATACATTTCAAAAGTTCATTTGTGACCCTGGACCACAAAACCAGTCATAAGGGTCTATTTTTCAGGGTTTGTTAGGATAGGCAATATTTGGCCGAGATACAACTATTTGAAAATTTGGAATCTGAGGGTGTCAAAAAATCTAAATATTGAGAAAATTGCCTGTAAAGTTGTCCAAATGATGTTCTTAGCAATGCATATTACTAATCAAAAATTAAGTTTTAATATATTTACAGTAGGAAATTTACAAAATATCTTCATGGAACATGATCTTTACTTAATATCCTAATGATTTTTGTCATAAAAGAAAAATCAATCATTTTGACCCATACAATGTATTTTTGGCTATTGCTACAAATATACCCCAGCGACTTAAAGACTGTTTTTGTGCTCCAGGGTCACATTTGTTCAGACGAATTACAGTACAGTTCAAGGGAAAAACAAAAAAGATTATATTTTGCAGTGTTCAAATTTAATACGTTTAAAAAAACTATTTATTTTATCAGTGTAACATTTTACGTTACAGTGTTTTGTTGCTTTACATTTTTTAAGTTATAAAACTTAATTTTTCTCTAGGTTTAAATCAGATTTTGACTACAAGATTTTCAGTGTGGTTCTAGACTGTTGGACCCCGCAGTATATAACAGCACACCATGACAAACAAAGTATTTAAGCATGAATTTTTTTGTTCAGGCCTGCAGATGTTTTTTTTTTTAAACAGAGTATGTATATTCAGCATGAAAGTTCTATAAGATAAACAAGAAGCAAACTTGAGTTGATCCGTTCCTCCACCACAACACCATTGCCTGACAATGCTGGGTGCAAAATAAAAGTAGCCTCTTTGTTTCCCTTATCCCTCACCCCTCCAACTCTCCCTCATTCTAATTTGGGCCAAATCCAGCTTTACGCCTTAATTTGAATATTTTTGCCTTCGAAAAACTCATTCCCAGACTCCAAACAGTTTCAGGTAAACAGGCCAGTTATGCAAAGCCATACAATACTGGATCTCAGAGGAATGTCAGCTAAGTGGTAGATTATCCTCAGCAGTGAATTCATTTGTGGGAAAAACCCATTTAGTATGAGTTTGATTTGATTTGTAGGATTTTTAATATAAAAAAAACGAAAGAAGGAAAAGCATTGCAATTCGCATCGCAATTCTCATAAGAAATGCACTAAAATAAAACTATTTTAATTTTACAACTTATATTAATAAATACCTTTTGGTTCTGCAGAATATAACTAAGCAAATATGCTTAGTAAAATCTTTTCAAAATAGTTTTCAGTCTTTTTTCTTCAGTTGCCTTTGCACAGCTCCTCTCATAAGAACTGCAGTCAGAACACTGCACAGCACCAACAAGAAGAACGATCCTCCAGCCAGCATAATGAAATGTTCTCCATGCACATCTACAACAGACTGCCGATGCACCAGAAAGTCTCTAAACATTGCTTCCAGCTGGCACATAGTACACATAGCCAGGAAGATATGGAAGATCTGATGTCCATGGCCCACAATGTCACATCTCCCTGGAAAGAAGCGCTCAGGAACAGGACAAGAGAAAAACAGAGCCGCTAACATGAAAAACACCACTTGCAGGGCATGAATCACCAACACCGGCTCGTCCCAAGATCTGGTGACCAGGCGGTGTGCTACGGGGCTAATGTCGAGCATGTACGCCAGGCTGGTGGGAATGATCTGGCAGATCTTCCGGCGGAGCGGGTACGGGCGGTGGTAACGGAATTTGGCGTAGCAGCAGCTGGTGCAGGACAACCAGGCCAGGACCGCGGCACCAGGCAGAAACACAACACCCACTAGGCTGTGCCTCCATACTGGCTCTGAACAGTAAAAATAGTGGCCTAGTGAGCAGCCATACTGGTAAATAGCTACACCAACGTAGTCTACGAAGAAAAGGGAGTAATGGGCCAGTTCAGACTGTGACTGCAGCAGATGGGCGGCCACGCTGAAACTGAGGTATGTAAGTGATGACAACACATACAAAAACAGAGGCAAAGACGCCACGTTTAGCGTCAGCCCCCATGTCCCTGCAAATAAAGAAAACTGGAGTAGAACGGCAGGGATTGCCAGCAGGTGTGTCCATACATTGAGCGACTCATTGTGGCATTGAAAGAGGCTACAAAAGTAGCTCCGCCATTCCTGATGCACCGGACGATAGCCCGACAAGATATAGGGCTCACGAAAGAGGCTCGGCACATCAGAGGCGAGTACGGTGGCTTGAGGTAAAGGTAGACGGGACAACCAGTTCAACAAGTGTGGCAATTGACCCAGCTGCTGTATACTCAAAGTCAGCGTACTCAGACGGGCCAAAACTCCGCTTGACATGGTGAAACTCTGGATCAGTGTCAAAAAATGAGCTGCAACGAGAAGCAGAAAACAGCACGAGGATAAATTATATTGACAAATCAGCATGCCATGATTCAGAACTCTGCAAGACAAAGAGCCGATTCATGCTGAACTAAACCTCTTACGGTTGATAAGTTAATAACTGGCCTGGCTGAATTGATCATTGTATACTCACATTCTATATTCTAAAACACTGAAAATGCTGTCTAGATAGGGAGCTCACTATGTTTTGAGACACAGCCATTATCTTCATTCTTTGATTATCCTAGTATGACACCCTTAGTATTATCTACTGCTACCACACCTTACTTCACTATATATAGCAGTTAAAGCAGACAAGGATTTTAACCAGTTTGCAAAACTTGTTTAGATTTATAGATAATAAGCACATAAAATCAAAGAGAAGAAAATTATACTTTTAATCATGCCTGATCGGGTAGAGAGCGCAAGCGTATGTGACATTTCATACACCAGAAAACATTCTTTCAAAACGCCGGAAACTATCTGTATGCGTGGGAAAAAAAGAAGAAAATCCTTACTTCCAATTTTTAAATAAAAGGGAGTAAATAGCCTAGTTATCGTTCCTAATATAGTAGCAGCTCCTCACCTGTGCGGAACCGGATCAAAGTCAATCTTCGTTCTTCTCAGTTCTTTTTTAAAAAGATATAAGGGGTTTCATATCGACCCAAAGACCTCAGACTTTTTGCATTTTACCCTTGGCAACTGCGCTGTGCCTGTCGAAGTGTCCACAGAGGGAACTGTTGTTGTGCCACCGGCTCCGTGAATCTGGGCGGGGTTACAAATAACTCAAATGACTCAGTTCGGTTCACGCGCAGACATCACTCAGTTCACTGTTCGAATAAGCAAAATTATCAAAGATAAGAAAAAAGGATACAACTTCAAAAAAACTACATTGTAATGTCCATTATAAAATTCAATAGTATTTTGATATCTGAACAATCGTCTTCTCAAAAATTAATTGTCCAACAGAATGCTTGATTGAAATGAAAAGCAATAAAATTCAAAAATAAAAAATAGACAACACATTACGGTACGCATATTCGCAGCTAGATAACATTAAACACTGATAATAGAAAATATGTTCATCTTGAAGTCTCTACTTGCATTAGATTTTCTCAAATTGAAGAAATATTGCACGTGTTCTGGAAATGTACACAATTACAAGCATTCGTATCAGTTATTATAAGCTATCAGAATATATATACACACATATATATATATACATTTGGAGGCACCCAGACTGTAGATTTAAAGGAGAGAAAACGTTAGGTAGAATCACAAGTCACCGTTCATTTCATTGCATCTTTTCTATACAGTGTATGTGAATGGTGTTTGAAGCTGTTGTTCTGTCTAACACATGCTTTGAAAGTAAGAAAACTATTTATTATTATACTTGCAACTATAAAACTTTTAGGCCTGCATTTAAAAAATGCAAAATAGCCTTAAACAGAACTAATGCCTCCACCGAAACATACTGTCTGAGTGGGGGCATTAACTTTAAAGTGCATCGACATATTTGTTGTCGGCAACGACCATTATTACACGCTACAACAGCACCTCCGCAAACGCTGTATTTGTTGTGAGCGCATGCGCAGCACCACCACTCTTTTCGCGCGAAACACTCAAGCGGGCCTGGCGAATCTTCGTTCTGTGGATTTGATTGGACGCCGCATCCCAGGAGACGGAATATGTTGATAAGTCACCGGTGTGTCGTCCAATCAGCACTCGGATTCCACAGCGAGAGAAGCCTGGTGGCGCGAAAAGACACACACCAGTGCAGAGTGCGACACGAGGTGTTCTGCACTGACCGTTTCTCAACGCTTTTAAAAGCTATACAGAAAAAAAATGGCTGTTGAATTTGTGGACGATCAGGAAATGAGGGAGGCGCAGAGGGATTATCTGGATTTTCTTGACGATGATGTAAGTATAACGCATTTATTATATGTTTATTAACTGTTAAATGACTGAAGTTCGTGTGAGTTATAGGAACAAAGGCCCTAAACAAAGGTACGAGGCATAATATAAATGATTTAAAAAGGTTTTTGTTTGTTGACAACTTTATTTGCGTTTTTACCTTTTCCCAGCAAGACCAGGGCATTTATCAGAGCAAAGTACGACAGATGATCAGTGAAAACAAATCCAGGCTCATTGTGAACCTCAACGACCTCCGCCGCCGCAACGAACAGCGTGCAGCCAAGTATGTTTAGCCTTATTTTACACGTACACTTTACAGTACAGTGTACACATCCATCAGTTGTGAGCATCTGGTCCTCAGGCTGCTGAATAATGCTTTTGAAGAGCTCCTGGCGTTCCAGCGTGCTCTCAAAGATCTGGTGGCTTCAATAGATGCCACTTATGCCAAGCAACACGAAGAGTTCTTCATCGGTCTGGAGGGCAGCTTCGGCAGCAAACACGTCTCCCCTCGAACCCTCACCTCTCGCCTGTTGGGTAGCATGGTGTGTTTGGAGGGCATCGTGACCAAATGTAGGTCCCACCTTATTTATGTACTTAAAGAGTTCATATGTTGCATGGATGGTGCATTGATCAAATTTTCTCTTTCTATTCACAGGCTCTTTGGTGCGTCCCAAAGTAGTACGCAGTGTGCACTACTGTCCAGCCACTAAGAAGACCATGGAGCGCAAATACACTGATATGACCTCTCTGGATGCCTTTCCTTCAAGTGCCATTTACCCCACCAAGGTACTATATTCCACCTGAGCACTTATGGTACGACTCGGCTCGGCACGGCTCAGTATGGCACGCAGTGTTGCCAGATTGGAAATGTCCAAGTATCGTACCAGAAGCTCAAAATTACTGTATTTGGAAGAAAATTATCCTACACGAGTAAAAACGAATAGAATATAGTTATTTATCTGCTAGACTAAAACAACTACTTTTTGACACACCCTTCAAATTACCACAATAAATAAATAACTATACTAGGGCCCTGTGAAAGGAGTCCAGAAAATTTTAAATGGAGAAAAAAAACAGAATCCAAAAAAATTTAAATTTGGAATTAAAAAAAAAAAGGAATTTGGGAAAAAATAAAACGTATATTTTTTCCCAAATTCCTTTTTTTTTTTTAATTCCAAATTTAAAATTTTTTGGATTCTGTTTTTTTTCCATTAAAATGTTTCTGGACTAAAAAGTTTAACAAAAATGACATGTTTAGGGTTTTATGAAATGTTCTATTTTTTTCACCTTGTTTATTGTTCCCAAATTCTGTGTTTTAATATGTCTAATTATTTGAATGCATAAAAACTACTTTTATTTATAGCCTTACGAAATGTTTTTTTTCTTTAGAAATTCTGC